CCACTAAATGTGCAGGAAGCAGTATAACTCCTTTCTTACTTTTCCATTTCCTGTTGAGAAAAGCTCCTAGCTTTCTCTACGTCTGCAGTAAAATACTCAGGTTTGAATTGTGACAAGTCTAGAAAAGGCACCAAAGGCATTAATTATAAATGTTCCTTTAGCAGCCCCTTTGCCTGGTCGATCGGCCAGATTATTTCCTCTGGCCACTTCAGTGTCCTCTTCCTGATGCCCGGGGCAGTGTGTAACAGCCACCTGTAGAGGTACCTGAACAGCTCCCAATACATTAAAATTTCTGTGGCATGCTTAATTTCTTTTTTATTGGAGGTTAATAGTCCTCTTTCCTTCCCAATACATATTGCTCTCTCTTAAATTATTCTTCTAGAATAAACATCGTCAATTATTTCAGCACAGTCATGTATTAGCACGGCTGAGTCAGGCTCTGGGAGAAGGGAGGCAGGACTTAACTCAGTTACAGTTTTCAATTGTTTGGTACCTGCCCATTCTCCAGCAGTGAGCCACAAATTTCCTTTTCGCTCCTGCAGGCTCAGCACTAGGTCGGGTACATAAATGGCGATAGGATGTCTCAAGAAAAACTTTTCAGCTTCCTGTAAAAGCTTGCAGGTGGCTGCCACAGCTCTCATGCAGGCTGGTCACCCCTGGGCAGTGAGATCCAGTTTCCCTTCTATTTTCCTGCTCTGGCACTTGCTCTGCTCATCTGTTTCTAGGTATATTTTAAGGTGGAGCCAATGGGGTTTGTGTTCGCCATCGGCTGTGGGTTGTGAAAGAAAGAGGAGTCAGGGATAGTTTCAGGGGTCTTTGGCCAGAGCAGTTGAAAGGACGGGAGACGGAGAGAAGCGGATCTGGGGTGGGTGAGGACGGACCGTGGTTACGGTGGCACGTGGAGTGTGTGGTTGTGTAGGCGATTCTGGGTGTCATGGGCACAGTCTGGCCTGGAGATAGAATCCCCTTCCTTGGGCATGGTCTGTATGTAGATGGTGTTTACAGCAGGGTGACAGCTCAGCACAGCGGTGGCTCCAGTGAAGGGGCCCTTGGACTGAGGAAGTATGGGGGCCCCTGTGCCAGAGGATGGAGAGAAGAGGAGGCCCGTCATGGGGGTTGGGAGGAACAGCCCCTTGGGTAGGAGAGGGACCAGAAGGGAGGGTTTGCATGTCTTGTGAGTGAAGAACAAGCTTCCAGAAGGGCTCGATGAGCTATTTTAAAGAGTTGTGGGTAGACCTGGTAGAGGCGGCCAAGAATTTACCACTGGATTTAGAAATGGGGTAGTGAGTGCTCTTGCTGTCCTGTTTCCAAGGAGATGAAAGCTTAATTGGAGTGGGTTCAAAAGAGGATAGGAGACTAGGAGCCAGCGGGTGTAAGCGACTTTTTTGAGGAGTTTCACTGTCAAGAAGAGAGAAATAGGGTGGAAACCAGAGGTGGATGCGAGGTGAAGAAAGGACGTGTGTGGGGCTGTCTGTGTGTAGACAGATGACGTGACAAGACTGGTTTCTAAGCTGCTGAGAATGATCCAGTAGAGAAGGGGGGCATCTGCTGGGTCCCTGCCCTTGCGAGCTGAGCGAGGTGGCAGTCAGTGTGCATGAGTGGAGGGAGGCGGTTTGTTCACGATGCTGGAAAGAAGGCTGGCAGGCAGGGGGCGAGAGCACAGATGGCAGGCAGGCCGGGAGCTGCTGGGTGTCAGTCTGATGGGTGTTTTCTCAGTGCAGCAGGACACAGGGCGAGCTCTGGAAGAGAGGACTGGTGTGTGCTTGCGGGATCTGCCTGCTTAACCTGAGTGTGAGGTGGAAACTCTCCCACAGGGAAAGGTGAGCCCTGCCTGTGTTTTTAAAAAACACACACACCCTCTGGGCTTGATTTTCAGCACCTTTGGTCTGGGGTGAGTCTAGGCTTCTGTAATTTTAAAGCCTTAGAAGTGATTCTCACGTACACTTTGATCAAAACCACTAGCAGTTCATCTCATTTAGTCCTCCTAGCCGCCACCTGGGGTAGCTGTTGTCCTGTTTACTGTGAGCCAAGGTCAAATGTCCAGGAGGAGCCGGAGCCTAGTGGAAGACTGATACCAGTGTCCCCAACCTCGGTTATCCCCATGCTTTGTCTGTGAGCATGCTGGTGCTGGGTCTTGTCAGAGAATGGCTGTCCCCATTTAGATCAGAATGTGCCCACAAATAACAGTGTAGGGAAAAACTTTTAACTTGCCGGTTATGAAAGAAATGCACACCAGAGCAATATTAAAGTAATGTTTCATCCCCTCCAGGCTGGTGACAGTAAACCGAGAAGTGCGCAGGCTCCGTGCCAGTGCCACAGCGCACCACAGAGAGCCTGCCTCCCTGTGCGGCGCGGCCTGGCCCGGGACAACACCTGCCGGGGGGAACGACGTCGGCGTCCTTGGCGCCGATGGTCTCATCTCTGAGAAATTGTTTCAATAAAAGGGTTTAGCTGCACAAGAATGCTGTATGTGCAGAGTTTTCTCACCATCGTTATTGAGGGTATAACCGACCACCTAAATGCCCAACTAAAGAGAAATTGGTTCCTCACGTTACGTTGCTCTGTTGGAATTGTAAATAAAAATAGTAATTGTGAGGATTACGGAGCAGCATGACAGTGCTTACAAATCTAAACTAAGAATATGAACCAAAAATTAGGTAGACACTATATATGGCTGTATTTAACTACATTTGATTAAGATGAGCAAAATGCTGTCAAGATGACAACTGTTAGAGTAAGATGGAATTAAAGATGCCTTTTAAAAGACTCCTTTTCCTAATTAAAATAATTTCCCTACATTTATAGACATGCATGCTTATTATAGAATTGTGATATTGAAAATTATAATGACCAAGCCAAAAAAATTCATATACTTTCGAAGTTCAGGAACCAACAATATGGATATTTTGGTATTAAGGCCTGTCCTGCCTCTGTTGAGTTTGACTGGTAATTTGCTTTGCTTCCACGATTCCACTGCTGATAAGGAGAAAGCAGCTCTTTGAAATGAAAACCACTGTTGTGGCTAAACAAAGAAGGGAACTCACACTTCCCTTGTTTTATTGTCTGGCTGTGGTCTTTGGTTTATGGTTATGATCCATGTTACAGACACAACTGCAAGGTCAGAGCCAGCTATGACAGAGGGGCTGGGCTTGAGACTTCTGGATTAAAAGGCAAATAGGAGTCATTTTGTTTTTTGTTGATGTTATTTTGATCACTTGTTATTTTTAACTCTAAGTAAAATACAGAACACCTTTGTTGTTGAGATTTCTGTGGTGAGAGTAACTTTATCACTACTCACTCTCTATATGTAATTTTCCTTTACTAATGATTATTTTCACATGGCAGTTTTTGATAAGGTTTCCTGGAAATATAATTATATAATACTAGACTGAAGTATTTTTTGTGTGTACATGTGTAAATTATATCAAAGAATAATCAGTATCATTCTATAAATGCATACATTAAATTCAACACATTTTCCTATGTTAAAATTATTTGAAAATAAGTTTCCAGTTTATGGAGAAATGAAGCCCCATTGGGATACTGATTAAAATTTAATCAATTTTAACCTAGAAAAAAACAAAGAATTGGTATCTTGGCACTATTCAGGTTTGTCATTCAGGAATACACTCTGTCTTTTTTATTACTGTTCAATTAAGTTTTGTAGTTTTACTTAAATAGGAAAGCCCAAGGTCAGTCATTCCTAGGTATTTTGTGTTGTTTTGTTGTTGTGACTGACATGTTTTTTTTAAAATACATTTTTCCTTTCAGTGGTGATTTTTAGATATTCATTTTATAACCAGCCTTTTCCTTGAATTTTGATAAGTTAATACTGATTTTTAGTTGAATATGTTGTGTTTTCCAGTATGGTGTGCACCATAGTGTTATTAATAGTTCTGGGGAACTGAAGGCAATAGCTCTTAGTTTTCCCCTTATTTTTTACCTTGCTGAAGGTAATTAACCTGAAGCTAGGAGATGCTTCTCACATCCCTCCTTTGACACTCTGAACCTGGTGAAAATCTGACATATTTTTGCACTTTAGGAGCCTCCTTTGTGGCAGCTGGGGAGGTCACCCCTCTCTGGTGGAGGTTGCGTGGTCGAGTGTGTCAGTTCTTGGGCTTTCCTGATCGGAGAAACTCTGTGTTTAAACTGTTCGTGTGTAGGAAACAGTCACATCCAGGTTCCCTCAGAGGGGGCAGGGGTCTGAGGCACATGAGCTGCCCTCGGTCCCCAGACCCAGGCCTGCTGTCGAGCTCTCTGGCAGGAGCCACAGCAGATCGTGCAGTTAGTGTGCCTCCTCGTCTGTCCGGTCTGTCTCCTTCCCTCTCCACCACTCATCTGTGGAGCAGCGTGGGAGAGTGGAGAAGACCAGGGGGCACACAATAGGAGATGACATGGGGGACTCCGTCGGCCCTGAGTCTAAGGAGGACGGAAGGTGACTGGGGGTTGAGCCTTACCCCTGAGGGTGCTCTTCTTTGTAGGGCCAGTGTTTTGAGGAGCCGTACAGTGTGATTTGTACTCAGACCTAAGGCCCATCCATGTTAATCAGCTGTGGAGGCGGAGAGCACATACATATCCTTGAAGCCACATGGGTAGTCCTGCAGGAAGGTCCGAGAGAGCGCTGGCAGTGTGGCCGGGGTGGTGGCTCAGAGCTCTGCAGGTGGTGGGGGCGGGTGGTACTTGTTTGTAATTTGTCCTTTGGTAGTGTTTGAGTCTTTGTCACGTGTGTGTATTTTTTAGAAACCTATTTACTAATATACCATGCATGTGCGTGTAAGATTTGATTTTTACAGAAGCAGTGTAGCTGTTGGGCTGGTGAAAACACAAAGGGACTTTAAACCAATTCCTCCTTTGAGATAATTTGATAAGTGTTGAGAAGCTGCTTGGCGTTTGGATTTTTATGAAATCCAAGCATTGGTACCAAAGTACCAATGTGCCTCTGTTTTCGTAGATAACACTATTTTTCTGCTTAAATTACAATAAATTGTTCCTTTTTCCAGGCGACAGAAACAGACACCAAAATCACAGTGTGCACCCGGGCCTACCATCTGCTTGTGAAAAAACTGGGCTTTAATCCAAATGACATCATATTTGACCCTAACATCCTCACCATTGGTACTGGGATGGAAGAACACAACTTGTATGCTGTTAATTTTATCAGCGCAACAAAAGTCATTAAAGTAAGTACGGGTATTCTCTCTCTTCTATTCAAGATGTGAAATCGACCACATGGCTCCAGTGAATAGTTTGAATATCAGGTATATGCGAGTACTTATTGGCTGGGAATGTTGACATTCTTGTTCTTAGCTAGTAAAATGGTTTCCTGAAATTTAGGGCCCTTTATTATTCTTTTTTTATATGTTATTTTAAACTGTGAAATATAACACATACTGCAGAATATATAAAAGTAGAATAATAATTAATTATAAAGCATATAATAGATCTCATTTAGGTCATGAATAGAACGTGGCTATGGCCTGTGTCTCTTTCTGGTTGCACCCACATCCTGAGTTTTACTGCTTTTTCTTTATAACTTTTATCACTTGTATACTCAACCTGAATTAGCTATCAATTCCATATTTGCATATTCACCTTCTCACTAAATTTTGCCTGTGATCCCAAATCAATACTCATGGGGCCTTTGCAGTTCTTCCTGGCCATCTCCTTATGCAGAGTGGTGCGACCTGCCTTTTCCCGGATGAGGTCAGCCAGGACACACGGTCTGGTTCTTGTTTCAGCGCTCGTTCCGTAAACAAGTGTCCTTTTCATGGACACAAGTATGGCGATTCTGTGCCATACTTGCTGATTTTTTAGCTTTTTCTAGGGGGTGGATTCCCCTCTGTAAAGGGTCCCAGGCACAGGGCTGCAGTGCTGTCTGTGCTCCTGAGGGCCAGAAGGTGGGAGGTGCCTCATGGAGAAAACACAGGTGTTAGAGAGGCTTTGTTTAGATGCGAGTTGTGATGCTGTTGGCTGTGAGTTCAAGGCTGGTGAATCAGTGATATGTATTAAACAGATGTCCTGAAATGGAAACACACATAAAATAAAGTCACATATTGATCAGTTGATGGACATTTGGGACCAAGGGGCAAAGGAACCCAACCCTGTGTTTCCTGGGGAGCAGTGGTTTTCAGTGTGCCCCAAATCAGTGTTTCTGGTGACCTGAGAGAATTTAATCACCACAAATAACGAGAATCACTGTATAAAGAGTTACAGCTTAGTCTTCCCTGTTTCTGAGCTTAAATCTAAGGTTTTTCCTTACCCACCTTCATTTTAAAGCTTGATTGGGGGATAGCTATACTTTGTTAACATATAACGTTCCATCACAGGGCTCTTCCACAGTTAACTCTTCTGCCATTGATCAGCATTTGGTTGGTCCCGTGCTGGGACATTGTGAGCAGTGCTGCTGTGAACATTCCTGTACATGTGGTTTGGGCACATGTGCGTGAGTGTTTCTGGGGCATGTGTCAGGAAGTGGGATGGTCGGGTCCCAGCAGATCGTGGAAGCTGTCTCCCACTCAGGCAGTTTGTACATCAGCCGGCAGTTCCACATAGATGCTTGACATTGTTATCAGGTGTGATGGGAGCCTTAAACTTGAACCTTCTCCTTTCCATTTTTATGTATAAAGCGTAAGGGATGTGCTTGCTCCTTTTGGCAAAATAGGGGAATCTTTTCACATTTAAAATTTTTTTGCTAGGAAACATTACCTGGAGCTAGAATAAGTGGCGGCCTTTCCAACTTGTCCTTCTCCTTCCGAGGAATGGATGCCATTCGAGAAGCAATGCATGGGGTTTTCCTCTACCATGCAATCAAGGTATGGTGAAACACCTGTTTCCCTGGAAACCAGCTTTTGCCTAGGGCAGGGGTTTGTAAGCCTGCAGACCAACTGTGGCCTGCTGCCACTTTCTGAGCGTAAAATCTTACTGGAGCAAAGCCACAGCCACTCGTGTATTGTCTGTGGTGTGTTTACTCAACAGCAGCAGCAAGGCTGAGTCCTGGTGACAGAGACCATGACCTGACGTGCTTTCCACCTGGCCCAAACAGACAAAGTTTGCCGACTCCTGATTGGGAGTGTCACTGGGAATTCTCACTTTGCTTTGTCTTGCCCTTAGTTTGGCATGGACATGGGGATAGTGAATGCTGGAAGCCTCCCTGTGTATGACGACATCCATAAGGAACTTCTCCAGCTCTGTGAAGACCTCATCTGGAATAGAGACCCTGAGGCCACCGAGAAGCTCTTATATTACGCCCAGGTAGAGCGAAGGTGTTCTGATGGGTGGCTTTCCTGTCTTTGAATGTATTGCTCCTGTGTGGGTATCAGACTTTCGCTGTAGATGAGAAGCAAGGATCTAATTGCTCTTAGGATCACTGAAGATTTTTACAGAGAGCCCCAGGGGCGGTGCTGTGGCGAGGGCGAGGGCGGACAGATGGGCCGCGGGTAGGCTGCTTGGTGTTCTGAATTTATGTTTCAATCTATTTTAAAATATAAAATTGATTTTTCTCATATCAAAGTTACACAATTCTAGAAAATTTACGAAATACAGATGAACAAAAGAAGGAAATAAGAATTACTTGTAATCCTACTACCCGAAGTCAGGTACTGTTGAGAGTTTGTAATAACCTTGTTGTCACGGTTCTTTGTTTTTTGTTTTTTGTTTTTATTTTTTTTTTCCAAAATGTGTACTCATAGGTATGTCTACACACATACTCATATTTTTTACAGAAATAGAACTATGCCCTAGATGCTTGTTTGGTAACCTATTCAGTGGTCTACTGGGGACATCTTTCCATTTTATTATGTATTTTTCACCTCACAATTTCAGTCGGCTCTTTTGGATTTTGTTACGTGACTGGAATTACCTGGTTCCCACATGTTGACATTTGTATACCTGTTTATGTTAGGATCTCCTCCATCTGTATCAGGGTTCTACAGTTCAGGGCTTAAGGTTTGTACACATTTATTCAAAATAGATGTGAGAATAATTATAGTTAGTCTAAAAATTAGTTCCTTGTCTCCCACTTATTCTGTGTTGGGCAGTCCTAGGTACATTAAATGTTGATCATGGGTGCTGCTTCCTAGAATTGAATTTAAGGAAAGATGAGAGCTTTACCTCAAAAAACCTCAGTTTTATATTACTTCAGAAAGTGATGGCAAAAGAAGACATTTTTCTTCCACGTTCTGGGAAAGCGGTAGAATGCTCTTATGTATATTGCCACCTTTGTTACTGTTTTCCATGTTAAAATCAATTCTCCCCTCCTCCATCAAAGAGCATTCATTTGTTCTGTAAGAAGGGTAGGGCGGTTGAGGATGAACCGTATCGTTGCTTCGCCAGCCTGATGGTGGCACGCTTTAGGTTTCTCAGGCTGCTCGTGATAGTCCGCCTTCTGCGCAGCAGCGAAGCTGACTGCAGGTCAGACTGCGTGAATACATGCCCCTCTGCTCAGCTCCTTAACAACATTTCTCTTGTGGACCCAAGACGGAAAGTCTCTGGTCTCGATCGTGGCAAATATAACCAAGTTCTGCTTCAGCTTATTCCATAAGAAACAGTTACTCCATTTCTTTTTTTGTTTTCTTGGCTGCTTTTGCTCATGTAGACAAAGTACTTAACCCTTTACTGTTCTTTGAACATCAAGACATGGGTGTGAAACACTATTCCGTTTTTGTCTTAGTCTGTCTTCCACCCGGCAGGCGGCCCTCCTTTAATTGCTGGCTAAGGGTTCTGGTGAAGGCCAAAGGGCATCACGGCCTCTCCTATCATGACGGTGTACAAGAACGTTTTTAAAACCCACAAAACGATGTTCCATTTATCTCTCTCTCTGCCGTGCAGATGAGACAGTGCTCCCACTTAGGAAAATTGGGCCCCTCATTTGTGCCTATTCTCATTTAGGGTTTTGTTGGCTTTGTATTCTGTCAGTCATTCTTTTTGGTCTGTGCTCACATTTAGCATTTGTTTACAAGTTTTTGTTTCTGTGTGTGGTGCTGAGCTGCCAAGAGGTTTTGCCCCTGGGGCACAGCATAATTGAGAGAAATCTTAATAGCAACTTCAAGAGCTTAACAGTCATATAAGAAATCGCCTCCCTCTTAATGTAACCACAAGGGCTTATTACAAGGCATCGTCAGGTAGGCAGTCTATAATCAGGGTGACCGCTGTTTGCATAAGTATATTTGTTAGTAACAAAACAGATATACTTTAATAATTCCCAGGATACACTAAGCACAAATGGAGCATGAAAAGCAGGAATATTACGAGGAAAATAGGGGTGGGGAATATTTTTTCTTTATAAGAGAATGATTGTCTCTTTTGTTACTAAATGAAAAAGTCTGTATCTATTAACGTTCCAATCTGATACATATTCTAAAGGGTGGAAAGAGTCCTAACCTCTAATCCTACTTGTGAGAAATAAATGAGTACGCTGAGAAATAATTCCCTAACTTGGTGCAGACTGACCTGTGGCAAGTAAATGTTTTTGGTATCTCAGGGGTCGTGGTAATATATCACTCGCCTGGCGTTTCTTTATTAAGTGGTACCCAGCAGAGGTCATGACTCCTTTGGGCAAAGACTGGAAACATCTCTTGCTCTGAATGGGATGGTTCTTAAATGACCTTGGATTGCAAAAATATTCGTGATACTTCTCTGGAAGAAAGGTCTTTTGTTCTCTGATCTGGCTTTGATCCTGCCCATTGCCTCTGGAGCTCTCGTTCTTCTCTGGCTTCCTCTTGGGCAGTTCGCTCCCCTGGATACTGGTCCAGTCTGATACCAGAAACAAAACACAGGTCATCCTAGGGACTCCGAGAAGCAGAAGCTACTCGAGAGCAGTAGCTGCAGATACAAGGAGTAGCCAGATGGCCCTGACAACTGGTTGGTGGTTTTCTTGGTAACTTTCAGTGTGATGAGCTTCCAGTGTGTCTGCTGTTTGGTCTAACTCTGTGTGTGAAATTGTGCAGCGGCTCATATTCAGGTCCCAGAGAATGTCCTTTCAAAGGATTAGTTGGGAAACCACATTGTACTCTGACATAGCTGCTTTGAAATGATACTGTTTCTCCGTAAGTATTGACTTTCTGAAGCATGCCCGTCAACTGGGGTCTTGCACCTTCTCTGCAGCGCCAGCACTTTGGTGGAATCTTCACACAGCCCTCGCTGTGTCCTCATTTGCCCCTGTTAATGATCACATGTGTTTTGACCCCTCCATGCCCCACATGTGCTACACACTGTGAATTTTTTTGTGAACACACCAGGTCCTTCTTCCAAGAGGGTTTGGAGCAGTCCGCCCTGTTTTACCGCTCAGACTCACCCCACGGGTGGAGCCAGCTGCCGTGTGGTTGACAGAACACATGGTGTTCACATGTATCGGGTGATGTGGGTGCGAGCTTCAGGCCTTTCTTTTTTTTCTTTCTCCCTTCCATGCCGCTTAGCTCTGGTTTTGTGGGTTTTCCCCTTCAATAAAGGTCAGAGTATATAACCTGTGAATTTTGCAATTTTTTGTGCTATTTTTAGTTTCTTTAATTGAACTATATTTGATGTATAACATTAATTTCAGGTGTATAATATTATGACTTGATACTTGTATGCATTGCAAAATGATCACCGTGAGTCTAGTTAACAATTTTCACCACGCATATTTACAGATTTGTTTTTCTTGTGATGAGATCTCTTAAGATCTACTCTCCTAACAACTTCCAAATATCCAATACAGTAGTGTTAACTGGTCACGGTACTACTGCGCATCACATCCCCGGGGCTGTGCCTTTTGACCCCTTCAGTTGTTTCACCCTCCCACCCCCAGCCTCTGGCAACCACCAGTCTGCGCTTATGAATTCACGTTTTAGATTCCCCGTGTAAGTGAGGTTATACGGTACTGTCTTTCTCTGTCAGGCTCATTTCTCTTAGCATACTGCCCTCAAAGTCCATCCATGTTGTTACAAATGGCAGGTTTTTTTCTTTATACTGAGTGATACTCCATGTACTATATTTCTTTATTCATTTGTCTATTGATGGACACTTCCATGTCTTGGTTATTGTGAAGAGTGTTGCAAATAATTTTTTTTAAATTATCATCTTTTTTAGATTGTGTGTTATGCGAGGGAGGCATCGGTCTTTGGTATGTGCGAAAGCCCTTGGGCTGTCATTCTTCCAGTTAACTGCCGCAGCCTGGACCCTGGAGTTCCCCCAACTCCTTCCTTTTCTTACACAGTGTCTGTTACTTTAATGACTTTACGTTAGTCCTTTTTTCTCCTTTCCCTGTGCCACTGTAGTCCAGACCTTGGTCATGGACTATTAAATTATTCTCCTCCTTCCGGGGTTGTCTTTAAAATAGTACTTTCAATGTAATTCTGCAGCTTTGGAACTTTGAATTGTGTTGTCTCCCTACCTCTGACCCCACAGTTGCATGGAAGGTTAAATACAAATTTAATAGCCTGGATTTCTGGTGCTATGTGACCTGGCCTCTACTATCCAGTACAAACATTGCTCCAGAAGCATACATTTTTGTTCAGCATTATATCATTCGGGTAATGCTAACTGAACTCTTGTTTTGTGCTTTGCACTTTGCTGAATGTGCAGGATTTCAGTAGTCGGAGGGTGTGTCCCTGCGGAGCCCAGTTTCTTGAGCCATGCAGAAATAGGTAGAGGCAGTTGTGGTGCAGTGTGACAAGTGCTCTGGCGAGGCACAGGGTGCTGCGAGAATGCTCAGGAGGGACACTGAACCCACAGTTGGAGGAGATCGGTGGGACCTGAGGCTGCACAGAATTAGCCAGGCTGAGTTCAGTGTTGGAGGGTGGTGCTGGTGGTCTCTGCCAGGGCACTTGTGCTTGCATCTAACTGGAACCCAGTAATGCGGTAGATGCTGAGTAATGGGTGTCAGGTGAACAAATGCATAGGCCTGGAGGTGAAGAGATGATGGATGGTGTAAAGAACTGGCGTGTTCAGGGTAGCTAAGCTTTCAGGGAAGGGCAGCCGATGAAGCTATAGGAGAAAGCCAGAAGGGTCCTCCAGTGAATTTCTTCATAGGTGGGTGGTTTGACCTGGTTTGCATTTTGGAAGGTCCCTCTGGCTACCGAGCAGATGCATGAAACCAGGGTGAGTCTGGGCTACAGGGACCCGTTGGTTGTTTGGACTATGAAAGTGGAAGCAGGTGGAGAGAAATATTGAGGAGGTATTCAATATTATCATTAGGACTGGGTGCTCCATTAAATGTGAAGAATGGATGGATGTTCAAGAAAGATGCTTACATTTATGGTTGGGGCAGCTGGTACCACCAATGACAAGGAGAAAACAGATTAGGTGTAGTAGTGCCATTGGCCTGTGTGCTCTGATCATTGCACATCTGTCCCTTTGCCGGAGCTGTCAGCTTCTTCAGAGCCTCTCTGCACCCCAGTCTGTGATGGTCACGCCTTCCTCAGAGTCCCTGGTGCGGTGTGTTGTCGGCTCCTTCAGCCCGCAGCACACGCTTTCTCTTGGAGTCGGCCTTTCCACCTCCCTCCCAGCAAGGCGACGCCCTGGCAGCACCTGTCCGACTCAGCGTGTTACAGTCCCTCTGCACGTACCTGTGGGTGGTGGTGCTCCCTGTTGAGAGCGCTGCAAGCTCGTCAGGTGTGGGGTAGAACTCCTTGGACCGTCCCGGAAATCTTTAGTCCTAGGTTATCTTTTAGGAAAGAAAAAAATACGGAACCTCGCTTTGTCCCTCTACTAAAAGTTCAAATCCTGAAAGATTTCTGCTTCCCTCAAACACTTATGGAGATCCTAAGTCATTCGGGATATACTACTGGGGGCTGGAAGCATAAAAGAAGGATAAGGCCTAGTTTTTGCTGCCAAATAGTTCAGTAAAGACCTGTTGTATTTGTCTCTGTCCTAATTTCATTTAAGACTCATGGCGCAGGCGGGAAGAAGGTCACCCAGACGGACGAGTGGAGAGATGGCCCCGTGGAAGAGCGCCTGGAGTATGCCCTTGTGAAGGTGAGCTGTGGGTCCTGCGCTAGTTGGGGGTGGGGCTCGGTCCATCCTTGTCTGATGTTGTTGCTGTAGGGGAGGAGCTGATGGCAAAGGAGACTCCCTGGACCCCCCTCCCCACCCCATCCCCCACCTTGGGCACATTTTGCAGTGTCCAGAGACAGTTTTGGTTGTCACAACTGGGGTGGGAAGTGTTCCCGGATCCCGTGGCCAGGAATGCTGCTAAACATCCCACAGTGCACAGGACAGGCCTGCGTGACAAAGAATCATCCAGCCCAAAATGTCAGTACCAAGCTTGAGAAATGTTCTCCTGTACCCATTGCTGTGGTTCGATCCGAAAGCAAGTCCTGGCTCTTCTGCTGATAACTGTAATGTCAGTCAGGATAATCTCTGGCTTCAGTTTCCTCATGTGTGAATCTGGGGAATTTCAGAGTTCTTTTCTCTTGTTTTCGGTTGTAGAAAATTTTAACTTCTAACTTCTTGAGATTCACACATGTAGGGTTGTGAAACTAGTCAGCCACAGCCAAGGATCCTTGAACTAGGGGACGCAGGAGGACAGGGCTTGATCCCTGAAGCTGGATAAGTTGGTGGAGGCTCTGTGGGCTCGAATGTCACCCATGGGCCCTGCCCACTGTCTTTCTTCTGTAGCCCCTAGTCCTGTGGTGAGAAATGCTGATTTCGTAGGAGATACTTACCATTGTAAAATCTGTTAAACCACTGGGATAAGGCATGTATGAACTTGAACTTTACTTATTAGGGCTCTTTCTCTCACTCATGGCTCCTTTTACTGAGTGTTTACTTCGTGTCAGTAAAGCCCCCAAGCACTTCTTATAGGTGTCTGGTTTAATCCTCAGTGTGACCAGGTGAGGCAGGTACTATGTGATGTTGTGGTTGAGGAAACTGAGGCTTAACGAATCCCCTGAACTGGTGGTGGAAACCAGGATCGAACCATGCCGCCTGACTCCAAAACCTGTACTCTTAAGCATTTCCTGATTGATTCTTTGTTGTCTGTTTAGACTTAAGCCACTGTTTTATATGATTCCCCCCCCTTTTTTTGTAGGGCATTGAAAAACATATTATTGAGGATACTGAGGAAGCCAGGTTAAACCAGGAAAAATACCCCCGACCTCTGAACATAATTGAAGGACCTCTGATGAATGGCATGAAAGTTGTCGGTGATCTTTTTGGAGCTGGAAAAATGTTTCTACCTCAGGTTGGCAAAAGATGAGGGGAGGGGGCGCAGTGTTTTCACAGTGGAAAGAAAAAGACTTTGTCTTCTAATAAATAGCATTTGGACATATTTCTTAGGTTGTAATTTTGAAAAGAGCTCATGGGCATTGAGATCTGCTCAGTTTTTCTCTAAATAAATGTGGAGGTTACAGGTCATGTGGAAATTCTTAACTTCTAATCTCCTTATCTGACCTTGTGTACCACTTCTTCTCCCCAACAGCTACTCCCCCCGTGTTAAAATAAAACCCAAGGTTAATGTAAAGTTAATGTTAGCAACATTGTATTTGACCAACCAAAATTCATCTTTTAGGATGCATATTTTGAAAAAGTCATTATCATTTTAAATAGTGATATACATTAAATATGTTTCGAGTAAAACCTGAGCTCTTATTTTGATTTGAAGCAGCTGCTAACCACAAGTACTTGTTGAGCCATCTGGGTTTGGGGCAGGGGCCTACAAAAAAATTACAACACCTTTCTTTTTTTTTAATCACTTATTCCTTATTGTTAATCACCCATTTTCTTTCATAACATTCATCCTTTTTTTAACAGGTTTATTGTTTTATAATTAACCTACACTAACCCACACACGTTTACGGGACACAGTTTCACACTCCCGCACATGCTGCGGAGCGGGGCCTTCTGTCGCCCCATCCTTAGTCCCCTGCAGTCCAGGCAGGTCCCTCAGTTTTGCTTTTTCATGATTTGACTTATTTTCAACTTTTCACGTTTGTGTGAACTTCTGATTTACAGACAATTTTCAAATGTAATTTAAGAAGTGCCTCTCTGTCCCTCACCCAACTTCTTCCCCTGATGTTAACATTCTTGCTTGACTGTCGTGCAGTTATCAGAACCGGGAAGGTAGCGTTGGCACAGTACCGTCAAACAAAGACCGTAATGAGGTTTCACCAGTTTTTCCACTACAGTTTCCTTTTTGTTCCAGGATGATCCTGCTTTCCTTTTATCCTGCCTTCTCTGACAGTTCCTCTTATGACCGTGACTTTCAAAGAGTCCAGTATAGTTATTATGTAGACAGTCCCTCAGTTTGAGTTGGTCTGAAGTTTTCTCACTTTTGGCAAGCCTAACACAAAGTGATGTAGTTCCCCTCTCTGGGTGTCATGGCAGGAGGCCCATGAAGCTGCCCTCTCATTACTGGTGATGTTAATGTGGATCGTTTGGTTAACGGCGTCTGCAAGGTTTCTTCACTGGAAATTTACTCGTGGGGAGAAACCTTGACACTGTGCAGACATCCTATTTCTTATCATACTTCCCTCCATGAATTTCATCACTCCTTGACGGATTTTGTAAAAGTCCCTGTTCTTGCATAGCATAAACCTTAATTATAAGTGAATTATAATGCTGGGGTTGTGAAGAGAAGGCTGAGCAGAAGCTCATGGTGGAGGAACTTGGAGCTTGGAGAACAGTGGAGGGCCTTGGCGGTGAGAAAAGATAATGTGCAAAGCTCAGAGGACAGGAGTGGCCGCGTTTGGTCTCTCGCCTGTTTTCCCCCTGTGGTGGTCATTCATGGGCTCTCCCCACGGGACTCGTTCCTACCCTGCCCACTGTCGAACGTGGGCACCAGTCCATCAGCACCCATATGGCTGGTTTGACAAAGATGCCTGACTCTGTGTTTTTTCCCAGGTCATAAAGTCAGCTCGGGTCATGAAGAAGGCTGTGGGCCACCTTATTCCCTTCATGGAAAAAGAAAGAGAAAAAACGAGAGTGCTCTCTGGCACAGTGGAAGAAGAGGCAAGTCATTTGCCCAGGCCTGTGCTCCTTGTGAGGAACTGGCCTCAGCGACTCTCCCTGGAGTGGGGCAGGGACTGTGGGGCTTGGCTGTGTTTGTCATCGAAGGTAACACAGAGAAGCGATCTCTTTCACCAAGTATCAGAATACCCTGGGATTTGTCCTTGAGTGTGGCTGTATGAAACTTGTAATAAGAATGTAATTTTTCAAACAAAGCCTATGATTTCAAGACAAAATCAGTTCATTTATTCATTCATTCATCTGTTGACCATTTACAGAGCTCCTGCTAGGTGCTAGGTACTACAGTAGACATTGTAATCGGTCCCTGCCCTTGAGCTACTGAGTGGTGTTTGGTTTGGGAAACCTGTTAACTGAGTACCCCTGTATACTGGTCATGTCCTGGCACTGCCTGTGGATTCAGTCGGTTCTGTGGCTGCACCACCACAGGAGACACTAAGCTTAGCTCCTGGGGAAGCTCAGTCCACTTTGGCCCCTCAGAGCCAAACTCCTAAAGTGACCTGAGTTTGTGAATGGCTCAGACAAACATAGTGTTTATAAAAATCTTGCTTGCCTTGCATGCCTTTGTTTTCAAGGGAGGGGTGCCACTGGGGCATGGAACAACAGTGTTGAAGCTGCAAGGAGATAATCAGATGCCCCCCCAGGGGCTACTTGGGGTTCAGACTCTGATGGGTCATGTGCCGCTCACTGGCTTGTCCTGTCCCCTCACTGCCAACTGTGAAAATTGTCACACAGTTTTGGGGGTTAAGGATATGGCCTTCAGCTATAGGACTGTTTTGTACTTGAACCTAAGCTGCTCTATAAGGTGTGGAACCCATCATCTGGGTTGAAGCTCCCTAGGCTAACCGAACAGGCAAGCCACCTTTGAGCTGCTCAGGCTTGTAGCTTCCTGCCTGCAGAGCACATGGCTTGGGTTCTGGGTCTTTCTTGGAGGCTGTCTTAGTTGCATTAAATTGCTTCCTGGGCCAACACCAGTCAGGCTGTAGAGAACCAGGTGATCCGCTCTAAACTGATTGCAGCAGCGTTCAGGGGCTTATCTCCCTCCCTAGGACCCTTACCACGGCACCATTGTGTTGGCCACTGTGAAGGGGGACGTGCACGACATAGGCAAGAACATCGTTGGAGTGGTTCTCAGCTGCAATAATTTTAGGTAAGTGAAGTCTCACCTCTTCCAACTGCTTTCTTACTTAAAATTAGAAGTATTTCCTTTAGTGGGTGGGAGGGGGTGGCATAGAATGTTGGAGGCTTTTTTCAGTTTTTTTCTTACTGTGTTTTCAAATTTTCTCATTGAATACACCTTTCTGATACAAATTAGTAATTATTTAATCTGCTGTATGTTCAGTAAGGACAAAAAGAAAAGGAAAAAAACTATTCAAGCAGGGTCAAAACACCCAAGAGGCTTCTTGAGAATTGACCTTGAGCCAGCGACTCTAGTAACCAGAACACTGGGCTCCTCCCCGTGGCCAGCGGCACGCAGCGTATTTTCTTGTTCTCTGCAAACTGCCATATTTTAGAGCCCAGATCTTATGAGATTGGCTAATTGGAGTTTTATAAGAAGGCTTTGACTGGACAATTTTCTCTTTTCTCTGCTTAAACAGGACCACACATGCTTCTTAGTAATGATGAAGCTTGATTTTAGAATGTATACAAGTAAAATCCATTTCTGACATATCTCATCATAGCGAATAAATATTCAGCACAAGGTTATGTATGTCCTTTTGAGTGGTGATGACCTTTTAGTAAGTGTATGTTTTGCTCCAGTTTTAACATATTCTTTATAGTCAAAAGCCTAATGTAACTACCTAATGTCTTCTCTGGTCCATGTCCAACCAACAGACCTTGGGAGCCACGGACTGCTTTCCAATGTGCTCTTTTCTCTGCAGAGAAGGGAGTCGTGCTGCCGCTGCAGCTGTGCCCCTTAGAGTTCTCTCTCAGGTGACAATTATCCGTAGAGCCCCCTCTCTACTCTCAGCGTGTCTCTCCGTCTCTGCGTTCAAGGCTGATTAAGTGCGACTAAGAAGCACTCAGGAAGGCTGGGGGTCGGGGAGCCAGCTCAGGATGGTACCTTTCCCCTCCATCCTCACAAGTAATTGTGTTTGCCTGCCTGCTCACTGTCAACACATAGCATTCTCTCCTGGTCCTGAAAATGAGGGGGACTATTCCTCAGAATGTATTTATTATCTTTTAACAAGATAAATACATTGGCGAAACCATTGAGGTTGTTGTAATAAAGTTTTGCCTATAGAATAAATATTTGAATAAAGTTTTTGCTTCCTAAAACCTGTAAGACATTTCTGCTTTATGTCATCTTTTCAAATTTGATGTTGTTGGTTTTGATTTTATCACTATTAGTTAAAATCTGGTTCAGCTAATTAAGTGTTTGTAGATCATCTGCTGTGTGCCACGCATTGTACTGGTTTGGTTGACTTTACTCCATGCAAGGAGTTTACTGTTTATTAGGCTAAATGGCCAGGTACATATTCAACTGTGAATGGGATCAGAACTCTTGAAAAGGTGACTTGTAGGTAAACTTCGTAAAGCATTCTTGAGATCCTGTTGTCCTATGTTTATCAATTTTTATGTTGAAAAATGGATAAGTAGCTGAGAGAATCCCACTAGGAATGTTTCCCCTCCAGTAACAATGTTTTTAGAGACTTGGGGGAGCAGTGGTGTTTCTCCAGAGCGGCAGCCCCGGCGAAAGCCTGCTCACTGCCCCGGGCTTCTGCCAGCACAGCCAGCTCCTCTGACTTGTGCATTGAAGGCCTGCTTGTCTCTGCTAGTAAATTAGGGAAACATCTTCTGATGAAACTTTATTCCTTTTACTAAAACGTAAGTGTATATGCAAACTTTTCTATCAGGTCAAACACTTGGGTCTTGCGTCTTGTAGCAGTGGACTCTTGGCATTGGTGAGTTTGATTTCACATCAGCTAGTGGAAATTTGCTCTGGACATGTGCCTTAGGTAGTTAAACCTGCTTATGCTGCTTGGGTGAATCACCCAGCTGGTGAGTGAGCCTATTAACCATCCAGTACCAAGTCCTAATTCACCTTTCTTATTCCTGGTTCTTTGTCACAGATGCAGTGAATCTCATGAAATGTTAAAAAAATTTTTTTTCTTTGTGGAAGGAAAACTATAAAGAGGACTACCAGTGATAGTGCTGTCTAGACAGAAACACATGTTTCATGGAGATGATACAATAGAGACTATGATGCTATTAACCTAAAAAAAATAAAGGCCTTTCTGAGTGAGAGGCAACAAGCATTTATTGAGATTAAAAGAATAACTATTCGGGAAGCACTGAGTCAGGCAGAAGGCCACATGCCATTCCGATCAGGAGACGATGACCAAGGGCAGGGGAACGATGACATCCACGGAGGGAAGACATTTCTGTCGGCACAGACGACATAATGATGTGATTCCGAACAGTGTTTTCAGTGTTTAGTTCAGCGCTCGTCAGTCCCGCAGTCACAGTACCTGCTTTTTGGTACACTTGCAAACAGTTCCTTTGGAAACAAGGCTGCTTACGCCCAGGCCAGACATGTTTTGCCATTTTTACTTTCCAGAGGCTCGAGGCCTGAGTTGTGCAAGGCGACATCTCCTGCCCTGTTCACATGGTTGTTTGCAACGCAGCAGGGTTTGAGAATTTGAATAGATCTAAGGGTGTGTCCACCTACAGCCTGTTACTGCTGACATTTGTTTACCCCTTCACCATTCATATAGGGCTTTTTTTTTCTTTAATCCTCTACCGAGGACATTTTTTAAAAATTGCTTTTAGAGAGAGAGAGAGGAAGGGAGAGAGAGAAACATGGATGCAGAAAAGAAGCATTGATTGGTTACCTCCTGTGTGTACCCAGACTGGGTATCGTGCATTCCCAGACCAGGGATTTCATGCACCCAGACCACCGATTGAACTGGCAACCTAGGCATGTGCCCTGACTAGAATTGTATAGCGTTTTTGTTTTTATTTTTTAAGATTTTTATATATTTATTTAATTTTGGAGGGGGTAAGGGAGGGAGAAAGAGGGAGAAACACTGGTGTGAGACAGAAACATCAATTAGTTGCCTCTTGTACACACCCCAACTAGGGACCGAACCGCAACCCAGGCATGTGCCCTGACTGGGAATCTAACCTACAACCTTTCACTCTGTGGGACGATGCCCAACCAAGCTACATCAATCAGAACTACAGTGCTTTTATAGAATTAATTTTTATTTTTTCCTGATTTTTTTCTTTTCCTTTTCTTTCATCCTTTAAAAAAATTTTAATGATTCTGATTCTGCTCTGCCTGCCTCAGTTATTGCATTTCTCATTTAACAGATGATAATACTGAGGCTCAGTGAAGTTCAGTGATTCCTTCATGGTCACACACACAGTTAGCAAGTACAGGCCATACTCAGGGCATTAAGACTCTGTGCTGTGTCAGTTTACTTTCCAATATTTATTCCATTTATAAAGTTAAACAACTTTAAATGTAATATCCAATATTAATATTCTAGTTAAATTCCTCTTAAGAAATAGTTTAGAATATTTTTTAAATCCACACCCAAGGATATGTTTATTGATTTGAGAGAGAGAGAGAGAGAGAGAGAGAGAGAGAGAGAGAGAGAGAGAGTGAGAGAGAGAGAGTGAGGAGGGGAGAGAGAAACATCAATCAGTTGCCTCCCATACTTGCCCCAGCTGGAGACTGAACCCGCAGCCTAGGTATGTGACCTCACTGGGGATCGAACCTGCAGTGTTTCGATGCACAGGACAGTGTTCCAACCAACTGAGCCACATGGCCAGGGCTAGAATATTTTTAAATATTATTGATCAAATATTGATTACATGAAAGTAGATTTTAGATATACTTTAATAATAATTGTATAAAGATAAATGTGGACTTTCCCACTCAACAGATAATGCACACTATTTAATTGTATAAGAAATAGTAGTATATAGCAACAGAAAATTTAAAATTAGGTACCATACATTCTAGGACTTTAAAAACTATGGATTTGGTGATACAAATAACAAGGTGTATTTATATTTTAATCATATTTTAAGTAGTTCTTAAAATAACTGCCTAGTATGTGTAAAAAAAAAGCAGTATGTAGGCAAGGATGAAATACTTTTAAACTATCATCATGTTACAATGATCATCTGAGTGAGGAGAGTGACTGCGTCTAAGCCAAGGGTTCACTGGTCTGCCTCTCCTACACACCACACTCGGAGGCTTTCAACTTGATATGTGTGTGTGTGTGTGTGTGTGTGTGTGTGTGCATAAAAAATATACAACATGGTTTTCCAGTGTCATTAACATATCATTGACATACATTGCATAAGTTAAGGTGTACAAGGTGTTGATTTGATATACCTATATACTGCAATATGATTACCACCATAGTGCTAGCCAACACCTCCATCATGTCATGTAATTTCCATTTCTTTCTGTGGTCAGAACACTTAAGATTCCCTGCTTTAACTCTTTCGAGTATGTAACACAGCATCGTTTACCATGTTCACGGTGATGTGTATCATGTCTCCAACACTTACCCATCTTCTAACTGGAAGTCTGTAACCCTTGGCCAACATCTCCCCATTTCCCCATCTCCCGCCCCTGGAAACCACATTTCTTTTGCAGAGTAAAAGGGACTTTAATATTTATTTTAAGCCATATGTATTCTTAAATAGTAGGATGTTTTTGCAGAAGCATTTAATGCAGCTTACATTTTTTTCTGAATTAGAAGCCCAAATTAAATGCTTGTATTTACAGCTCTGTTATAAGTCAGCACTTTAGAAATATGATCATAAAATTAACATTTTTCTATAACATTCATTTTTGTTCTTTTTAATCTCTCAAGTGGTAAAATAGTGTATGTAAGAAAAGGCCTCCAGAAAACAGGCACAGGGTATAGCTCAGAGTACAGAGGGGAAACCAGGGGAGGTGGAGATGTAGGTGGGGGCGGCCGGAAGGGCGGGGAGAGACCGAGAGAGGGGTGGTGGGCAGGGCAGCGGCACCCAGAAGGTGGGGTGGGTGCGACTCGCGCTTTCCTCCCCAGGCGTCAGGTCCTTTCCCTCAGCCAGAGTTCCTGGGGCCAGTGGGTTCAGGATTTGCCACTAAATTGAATACTAAAATTGGTTAAACGGGCAAATTACACATGATATATTTTTGATATGCTAAAAGCTATTGAACTATATACTTTAAATGGATGAATTTTATGCGATGTGAATTATATATCAACAAAGCTGCTTATGAAAGCTCAGCATAGTGCCTGGTATTTGGTTGGGTACTCAATCAATGATCATTATATTTGTGGTTGTCAGTATTTATTGAGCATTTCAGGGCGATTCCAGTTTACATCAGAGCAGCATTTGATGGCTGAATAAAAATGTTCGTGTTTGTCTCTGATGTGTTCTCTTCAGTCTTCTCACCCCCCATTTCTGTACCTCAGAGTCATCGATTTAGGAGTCATGACTCCCTGCGAGAAGATACTGAAAGCGGCTCTTGACTACAAAGCAGGTACTGCGCGCCTGGGCTCTGGGCACCTCCTGCAGCGCCCGTTGGTGGGGACTGGTAGGGACTGGTGGGGACTGGTGGGGCAGGCAGGCAGTGAATGCCAGCTCCGGCGGGGGCTGGCCGCTGCAGTGCCCTTCCTCACGGAGGTTGAAGAGGTGAATGGGGAACAAGGAATTGCCATCCCGCTCGGAGGGTGGGAATGGAGACAGCTTTCTCACAGGAGGACGGGGTCGTGTCAGGCTGTTTTCTTGGTGGGTAGTGTTTGTTTCTTGACACACTGTGACATGTTCAAGTGCGGGCCATCATACCTAAATATTTATTCCACTGCATGGCTTACCAAAACTGTGGCAAATGCATTATTGCAACTTTAAGGTAGAAATCACATTTACTGCCAGAAGCAAGCAATAAATTGAAACCCCCAGTCAGAAAAGATTTCTTAGAGTTAGAAATTGGGGGTTCATATTACATCTTGTGGTCTTTATTACAAAAGTTTTTTAAATGACTCTTCACACTTTTCCTCCTTTTCTGTCATCCTCCTTCTAATTTGTTCTTTTTTTCTTTTTTAAATAACAGATATCGTTGGCCTGTCAGGACTCATCACTCCGTCCCTGGATGAAATGATATTTGTTGCCAAAGAAATGGAGAGATTAGGTATAAAGATCCCGTTGCTGATTGGAGGGGCAACCACTTCGCGGTAAGTCATGCTCACGAGCTTTGTGCTCCACTCACGTTCTCGGGGGTGCCGGCGTCCGAGGACGGTGGCAGGGCCGGCGTTGTTGTTCCTTACGCTCCCCAGTGCGTTGGCTCCTTACACAGGAGCACGTGCACTCTCCGGCCTTGGCCTGGGCAAGGAAGAGTGCCTTTGGAGCGCGCCGTAGGCAGCCTTTGTGGCGCCCGCCATAAGAGCCCTTTCCTCAGCCCTCTCACCTGCCATTCAGTTCCTGCGACTTGCAGTGAACGCTTCTCTCAAAATCAAACTAAGCGGAGAAGCTGTGTGTTGGCACAAAGACCTGGCGTGAACTTCAGCCACTCTCGGTCTTGAAGCAGGCGTCTGGTGGAGTAATTACAGGTTCCCTTGATGAACAGCCAACCTGTGGTAGTGGAGACAGAAAGCGAGAAGGAACCAAACGCTCACTTTGGGATGTTTTTAGAAGGGGGGAAGCTTTGGCTTAAAGAGGAAGGAGTTCGAATATGGTCACATGATCATTATTCAGTTTGTCAGATTTTTCCTGGGGTCATGATCATAATGATATTTGGTGAGAAATGTGTTAATCATTACGTGGTTTAGACTTTTTATGCCACTTCTGTTGTACCCACACACTCGCTCTGTCAGGGAATGATGCCCAGTGGAGCCTTGAACTTGCCAGTCTCACCAGCATGTAGAGACAGGCTGGCCAGAGACACTGCGGAGTTCCTTCTGCACTAGAAACCTGTATGTCAGTCAGGGTTCTCCAGACACGGAGTCGATGCAGTGCGCGCGCGCACACTCACACACACACACACACACACACACACACACACACACACACACACACAGAGGGAGAGAACTGGTTTTAGGAACTGGTTCATGATTGTGGGAGCTGCTGAGTGTGGACTCCTCAGGGAAGGCGGGCGGCTGGAGGCCTGGCCGGAGCTGGCGAGGCGGTGCTGTCGGGAGGCAGGTGTCCTTCCTCGGGGCACCTCCATTGTTTCTTGGACAGTCTTTGACTGACTGGATGAAGCCTACCCACGTTGTGGAAGGTGATCTGCTTCACTCGGGGTCCACTGGTTTTAATGCGAATCGCATCTAAAAATGCCCTCACAGACTCATCTACATGGGTGTTTGACCAAAAACAGGGCTCCATGGCCTTGCTGGATGAACATTAATGATCTGAGGGATCATTTTCATGAGAGTCAGAGTGTTACACGTCATTGGTCCAGTAGATGCTTTTCATACTTGGGGACTCAGTAGTGTGGCTATTGCTCACAGCAGAATACAGGGTTTGGTTTTCCACGAGGGACTTCCCCACGAGGACATGTGGCAGATTGTTCTCCAGGGATGTGCCTGACCACTGATGAAGGAGGTTTCAGTGGGCATGGTCTTGGGTAACCAGTGATTGTGGGATGAGTGTTTATTAGCTTAGTAAAGAGAATGTAAGAGAATCTGCAGACAGAATGCCCTTTTAAAAGCACGGTTATAAAATAGAATAAATAAATGAGCAAATGTAACGAAATGCATTGAGTTATGTAAATGTGATGCTGATTTCTTTCAAAATAAGAACTGTTTTGTATGGCAGGACACCGCTCAGAAGTTCAAGATCAGGAAACCACATTTCTCATGCAAAGTGGAGCATTTCCAAATAGTCCATTCTTTTATATCTCTTACCAAGTGAGAGTCACCAGATTAAAGAGGTTTTTAAAAAAAATTCAAAAGCAACATGAATAGCCTCTCAAGATACATTATAGGCAAAAATTAGCCATAAATGACTCTTAACAGTCGTAAGCTGGTGTATCAGACCAGAAATCCCCCACTGCCTCTCCATGCTATTATGAAGGTGTGTTCTCATTGTATGGGGGCCCATGACTGTGTTCCTACCCGAAGGCAGACAGCCGGGACCTGAGACCCCCTCCCAGGTTTCTTCCCATTCTGTGGTGCTCTACCTCCATGAGCTCTGTCCTTTCTGGTTCTGTTTCCTTCCATGCCCGTTGCAGTTTCTGGAACGTTACTGGAAAATAAAAGCTAGCCTCAGTGCTTCCAGGAACTGTCCCCTTCTCCATCGTGGGGCTTGAGCAGCCTTTGGAAAGCAGACTCTCCTGCAGCCTTCAAGAACTTCATTGTAGATTCTCAGGTCCGACTCCACTCAAAAGTAGTGACTGTGGGTGTCTGAGACCTGGAGTCTTGCTTCATCAAGCCTTTTTCTTTACGTGAGCACTTTCACTGAAGTCTGACGGTCGTGCAGAAAAGCACATACGTCATTGATGCACAGCCTGACTAATTTGTACAAAAAAGAACCCACCCTGTAACACCCTCAGCTCAAGAAGTAGAACGTTAATGGCACCAGGAACTTCACAGGGCTCCTTTCCAATGGCAGTAACCACTGTTCTACCTCTGTCACCATTGGCTGGTTTTGCCTGCATCCCAGCCTTGTCTCCGGCCACATGCACCCTTCCGTGTCTGCTTGGGGCCCACACTTGTTATAATAGTTGTTTTTCCTGTTGTGGTTTAATGGTCCATCGTATAATATACTACGTCTTATTTCTTATCCATGCTGTTGTTGGTGGACATTTCTTGGTGTTTACAGTTTGGTACTGTTACACAGAATGTTGCTGTGTCTGAATCTTTGTCCCGAAGCCAACCTGCTGGATCGTAAGGCATGCCTGTGGTCATCTGCATCAGGTCTTGCCGGGCAGTTTCCCACAGTGGTTGTACCAGCCCACAGCTCCCCCCAGCAGTCACGAGACATGCAGCTGTTCCTCATCGAGTTCCGTTTTACCCATTTTTGTGTATATGTAATACCTTGACATGGTTTTCATTTGTATTTCTCTGCTGACTGGTGATATTGAATACTTTTTAATATCTTTTTTACCATTTGGATGTGCTTTTTAAGTCTTTTTAAATTGGTTAGTCTGCCTTTTTTCTTATTGATTTGCATGTGTTCTTTATTAATATTACATACAGCTTTTTATAAGAAATATATTTTACAAATATGTTCTTCCAATATGGCTTGCCTTTTGCTGTCTGAGGGGTATTTTTGGATAACAAAAATTCTTAATGTTTATGAAGTCTGATTTAATCAGTCTTCTCCTTTACGGTGGGAGCTTTTTGCATCTGTGTGGAAACCCACCCACCAGCAGTGGCAGCTGTGCTAGAGCCTCAGGGCGCCAGAGTGCCTCAGATGCCCTCTGGGAGCCGTATTATTACCTCCTGGAGGCCTGCTGAGGGCGCGGCAGCACTCCAGATCTGTCCTCCGCTAACTGCCTTTGAGCAGATGGCAGATCAGGACATCCAGGTTGTCATGAGAGCAGACCCCTGAGGGGCTGTGACACCACTGTGACACTGGCTTTTCCGGCCCTTGGTGGCCTGTGGTAGCATCACAGAATTAGAATCGTCTCCCCGAGACACTGGAAAGGAGGCTTAAGGCTGTCTATTGGACGAGTCCTTGGAGAGCTCAAGAGGTTATACAGACTTGTGGTGGAAATATGCTCGGAGTGCCTGCTTTTAATCTGGAGCTGTGAGAAAATAGAAAACTGAATGTTCTCCTGTGTGTGATGCAGGCAGTCTTGCTAGCACAAACTAGAAATGACTTTGCTGGAAATCTGGCCCTGGCAGCCACACCACTTCTCAGGGGCATGAGTCTGGCAGTTAGCGCTCGGCTTTTAACTGTTTTAAAGCCAATCGCTGTAAAATGTCTTTTTCATTTATTTTATTTTTTATGAATAATAAAGAATTCAACAGGACGTCATGTTGCTCAAAGCTAGAGGTAATTTTCTGATTTTTTTTTAATTGTTGAGAAGTAAGGTGCTAACTCACAGAATTAATGTGATTTTCCTCTTTGAGCTGACTGCAGAGAAGCTTAGCACTCGGGCCCGTGTTCTGGATTTCATGGAATGGGTTTCATATGCTGCTTTTACTCCTGATTGCATCTTAATTTCCCCTTTCTCTCATTTTTCTCATCGAGTTTGAAATTTTGGTCATGTAGCATTTATGCAAAACATTAAATTAATTCTGGGATAGGATATGACTGAAATAAATGTTTGGAGTTCCTGTTCTTTTTCAGGGTTTTAGAGATGATTTTCCAAGCTTAACACTGTCATGCCCACGTGGCAGGTATAGGAGATGATGACTTAAACCAGAAGTGTTGATGAGTGACCTAGCAGAGGTGGATTTGCGACTCAGACTCAGCATCTAGCCCTTTGCCCTTGGTGGGTAGGAAGGGGAAGAGGGAGTCCAGTGTTCTGTAGTTCTTCAGACTTCAGGACGAAGTCTGCCCAGCCGGACGAGCCTGCATAAATGGGAGCCGAGAAGAAAGTGGAATCAATGGCTTATTATTTTATCAGGAAAGCAAGAGCGCTCTCGCTGGCTGAGCAAGCTCAGGTTTCGCGCCTGAGCTCAGCTAGCTTTGTCAGTTTTACGTTGGGAAGCAGCACTTTGCTCTTGATTTATATACTTACTTACACAGTGGAGCCCGTCAGGTGCTTCTCGGTGCCCTTGCCCAGAGGACCATCAGACAGAGTGGCCAGAACTGCACTGAGAACCCTTGCATGCTTAATAAATATTAATTGTGTTGATTTTAAATTTTATAATTGTACTGGTTCTCTTTAAGACAAATACCACCTAAGTGCATCAGGCCTAAAACAGTGTTTCCTGGAGGAACTTCCAGGAGAATCTCTACCGAGTTATATTTGTGTGTTCAGGAGCTGACCGTCTGAAGAAGAGGAAGCAAGCAGGGTCTGACCTGTCCTCTGTTTTGAAACTGGAAGCAGTTGCTTCTTCCCAACTTTCCCTACTGTTTGAAAATCTTCCCCTTCGTGGAATACACAGAAAATCTTCCAAGTCTTTGGTCCCTGCACACTCAGCGGGCACAAAACAGGTTCTCAGGAGGCAGGGAGATCTCCTGCTCCAGGGCCGTGGTCTGGCGCCTGCTGCTCCGCACCCCAGCTCCCCCGTCTCTTGCAGTAACCGTCTCAGGCCTGAACTTACCCTTATGGCTCAGTTCTCGTGGCAGTGGCTTTAGTCCTTTGCATCCTATTCATGTACCAAGATATGCTTAGAAAGAAAGGTCTGGGAATATCCTTGTCTCCCTCATTTTGAAGGAGTTTTTAGAGCCTTCCCTGAGAAGCCTACGAAAAACTCTCAACTGTACTGCATTTTTGACTGCCTCTTGGTTTTTAAAAATCACCTCAGGGACCCACATTCATCAGAACATGTCAAACGATCCTGAGGTATGAAAGTAAAATTTGAGCTCTCCTGCCCATCTTCAGTACCCCCTCCCCTCCACATAACCGGTGCTGGCGCTGTGATATGTATCTCTTGGTGCTCTTTCTAACTGATCAGAAACACATGTGAGGTTCGTTGGTTGGGGCTGGTTGAATGTGGTAGTGTTTGTTTAAAAAAAATAGAATTGTATTAAGCCTATTGTTCTGCATCTTTGTTTTCTTCTCACATACTAGCATCTCCTGGGCATCGTTGCAAATGAAAAAACGTTTCAGCGAAGGGGAAGAATCTGGAATGTCTGGCGGGGGGCAGAGTGCTGCTGCAGTAGGGCAGCAGGGAGGAAGAGAAACAGTGGCGAGCGCTGCCCACCGGCTGGGGCCGTGGCCGTCAGCCCCCTAGTGGGGTTCCAGAGCCCTGGTTTAATGCTGTGAGGGAGGTAATGCGTTGTCAGTTCCCACTTCACTGTGTTTGTAGTAAATGAGATAGCAGATATGTAGCCTCTGCTGTTGCTATAAACATTCAGTAATCAGGGCGGTTTATTTTACACTTTACTTAATTAGGTAATTTTAAGGATTAAAGGGTGTTTCCTTGCCAGTACTAACGTTTTCAGGTTCAGCAATAGGGGTTTGGGGCTAAGCCAATGTTGGCTATGAAATATTTTTGTTGCTTTTGCCTCTCTGTGGTATTTGGTATTGGGTTTACTTGGGGCCTGAGTTTCCTTAATATAACCAGAGACATTGAAATTAAGAACAAATGGACAGGAGCCAGAGGGGAGGTGGGCGGGGGGAATGGGGGGAAAGGAGGAAGGGTTTTCAGGAACATCTATAAAGGACCCATGGGCCAAGCCGAAGAGGGGCAGGATCAAGGGCGGGAAGTGGGGATGGTTGGGGTGGAGGGAGTGGGGGGCGGGGAAATGGGGACAGCTGTACTTGAACAACAATAAAAAAAGTTTAAAAAATGTCAAACAATTAAATACTGATGAAATAAATACACACACGCAAAGAACAAGGTGGGGTTACCCAGGGTGTGGTGGTGTCCCCCAGGGGCAGTGTGCAACAGCAGAGAGTGGTGTCCTGCCTAGTGTCTGGTTCCGCAGGAGTCCTGGCTGGTACCCCACCTTATTGGGAGGAAGAAACTCAACTTGACCTTTATGGCATCAAAGTGTCATTGCCTGGGCTGGTTGGCTCCCTTGGTTCAGACAGGCTGCTGATTCACCAGGTCGCAGACTTGTCCCCCACTGCAGAGGGCTGAGGGTAGAGGCTTTCTCACTTGTCACAGATTTCTTGGTAGCCTGGGCCAGTGGATCCCTGTCTTCCCCCATCTCAGGGTGGGAGAAGGTCATTCTTGTTCTACAAGGGAAATTTGAAGTTCAATACGTGGAAGTACCTTGACTCTTTCTCTGGAAAGTGCTGTGGAAACAGTTGCCTCTGACAGTTCTGAGCAAGGGTGAGCGGGAGCTGACAGCGCTGATGGAAGTGTTTTCCTTCTGACCTCTGTTTCCAGAACCCACACCGCAGTGAAAATCGCCCCGAAGTACAGTGCGCCCGTGATCCACGTCCTGGACGCGTCCAAGAGCGTGGTGGTGGTGAGTGCGGGGCTCGCCTTGCTCGGTGTGTCGGGAAGGGAGGACAGAGAGCACTGCAAGTCAGGGGTGTCGCCCAATGTCTGTTTATTTTTGTCCAGTTCTAAAAATGTGAAAAAATAGCCTATGGCTTCTGATGGTGTCTCTGCCATTGTGTGCGTCACTGGAAGGGGGTCGCTGAGTGTGCCTTGGGCTTTTGAAGTCCACTGACTGAGCAGGCAGCAGGAGCGCTGGTCTGAGGCGCAGGAATGGTGGGACCAAGACACCTACCTCTGAGCTGGACGTCGACCCAGGGAGAGCGCTCTCGGCCACCGAGAAACGTGTGCAGACACGGATGTATGCTTTCCTAACTCTGTGCCGGAGCTAGAGGAACGTAGAATTTTTTAAAAATCCTGTTTCCAGCTCAAAAAAACATTTATCCTGGAATGGGCCAGATGATCCTACTTAAGACAAAAAACATTCACCTGCCCTGGCCAGTGTGGCTCAGTTGGTCAGGCATTGGCCTACAAACCAAAAGGTCGCCGGTTCGATTCCCGATGAGGGCACAGGCCTGGATTGTGGGCTCTGTGCTCTGCCCACTCAGGGTGCCAGCAGAAGGTAGAAGGCATCGGCGTGGTGTTTCTCTCCCACATCGATATTTTCTCTCCCTTTCTCCCTCCCTTCCCTACTCTCTCAAGTAAAATTTTTTAAAAACTTAAAAACAAAACAAAACAAAACATTCACTTGATATTCAAAACCTAGAATGACAGGTTTTTTTCTCAGTGAGTGCAGTCATCAATTTAGCTCAGTGTTTTTTCCTCTTTTTCTCCATCCGTGAAGCCTAACACCTTCTCTCGCTGCAGCTTTTATTCTTTCCGCTAAATGCCAGGATAGGGTAGCAGGAAGGTGGCTGGGTGACCATCTGTCCAGCGGTCTCCAAGTTTTAGCCTCAGGAGCCTTGTTCTCAGGGGACGTCTCATGGGCCACGCAGAGCGGCACAAACAGGAGCTGCCCTTCCACCCTCTGTCCTGCTCCTCGTTCTCCTCGAAGGAGCACAGTTCACAGACCGCTCGTCCAGTCCAGCACGCCCAGTTTGCAGGGGAGGGGAGTTACCAAGGGGCTGGGGCTGCATGAACCCAGAGCCCGGACCAGGGCGACCACATTTCCTGAGCCGTTTTCCAAAGGAGTTCTTTTAGACCTGTGAGTTGATATATATGAAAGTTACATTAGAATTGCCGAGATTATTAAAAACTTACAGTGAGCCAGGGGCTGTGCTAAATGCTGTACCTGGGTTCCTCGTTGAATCCTTATGAGGTACACACGTTCATTATCCCCGTTTTAGAGATGAGGAAGCGGACGAAGGGGTTAGTGACTCCTCGAGGTCACACATCCGTCAGGTGGCAGGTCCGGGATGTGATGTAGTTGGTCTTGCTCCAGGCCACGTGAAACTTGCTCCCGTTAATACTATTTAACGATGCTCCTTTAAGTCAGTGTGGAGTTATGCAATTGCAGCTTTTTAATTTGCCATGGATGTAGTCATAGATAGCGTGTAAATAAACTATATTTCTATAACTCAACTTCAGAACAATTTTTTGTATTTTGTTTTTGGATTGCGCTTCAGAAGGAGCCTATATCAGGTCCCTGGTTGAGTACCCAGTGGGCCTCTTTTTAAGGCTTGTGTCATTTTTAAGTGCTAACGAATGACCGCGCACTTTCCATTTGCAGGCCAGGCTGTTGGACCTATTTAAGTACAGTGGTACCACTGCCCTGCATTAGGGGATGGCCTTTAGCTGGGAGGGAACCGGCCCCTTGTTTCCGTTTTGAGGACAGATTCCTTCACCACCTTGAAGAGCTAGTGGCGTGGCCGCCCTGAGAGCCGGCAGAGGCCAGTGTGTGGACGTCTGTGCTCTTTACGGTTTGGGCCACCTGGGCGCCACAGCAGTCAGCTCTTCTGAACTGCAAGAAACAGCCCCTTTTTTCCCCCTTACCTGAGGCCATCTTTTTATTGATTTTAGAGAGAGGGAGGGAGAAACAGAAACACCAATCACCCACAATCCACACCCCAACCTGGGATCAAACCCGCAACCCAGGCATGTGCCCTGACCAGCGATCGAACCCACAACCCTTCAGCTCACTGAAGGATGCTCCAACCAACTGAGTGACACTGGCCAGGGTGGGACAGCCACCTTTTGAAAGTACTCAAATGTAAGTCTGATGAGAAATCATTTGGGTAATTGCTAGTGACAGATTTCAGGAGTCAGTGGTGCAGCTAGTTAGGGTGACTGTCGGTTGAGATCAAGTGCAGTGGGCATGGCATGGGCCCGTGCTCTGAGTAACCGTCTCGTGCACTTGAGAGATTCCAAAACAGGGCATACATAGTAGTTGGATATTTAGACCTGAGGGTGCCCCTTTCTTCACTTTTTTTTTTAAATAAAAACAAGGTGCCAATATTTAGTTATTATTAAACTGTAAAATACATGTTGAATAGATTTTCTCTTATTGTGCTGCTATTGCCATAAAAAGTAAAAGGAAAAAAGGAAAAAGAAGAACTATGCACTGTCTGAGTGGCTGACATGAAAACACACGGTGGACTGATTTTATGGTGGAAGGACCACGTAGGGTGGCCCATAGAACTGGCCATGAACTTGTTTCCATGGACAAGTCAGACTGGGCAGGGTGGGGCTTGTCACTGTGCTCTGGGAACAGGGGCGCTGTGGGGGTGTGGAGGTGCCCCGGACTAGCCAGCAGTAGGTTCTTCCCCACAGTGTACCCGTGTCAAGTTCTTTGGGTGTTGGGGTTTGGCTTTCTCAGAGTTTAAAATCTGGCAGAATGCATGCATATGCGGGGGAGCTTGGGAGCAGAAACCCCGTTCTTACTGTCATTGAGTTCTGCTGGGCTGAGGACTTCACTGAAGTGGGGTTTGTGTAAGCTGAGCAAATACTCGGTGCATTTGGGAGCCTATTTTTAGGTCTGCTGCCAAGGCCTTTTCTGATTATGGTGTGTTCCTTCAGAAAGCAGTACGGTTTTACACTAACTCACAGGCAGTTGGGTTGGGATTAGAGATACCTAGAAAGTTCATGTAGCATTCTAGACATTCCGAGCTGGTAGTCACTCTCCGTCATCCACTCTCACTTTCTCAATTTCAGGTGGTGCCGTTGAATTTCCCCCTTTTTTGTGTGTGTTAGGAAATTCTACTGGAACATCCAGAGATGGGGTGGTGCTGTGGTTTTTGAACTGAGGTGATCCGTAGCAGTAATTTCTTTCGGTGTGTGTGTAAATTACTTTGAGTTTTGGTGATAGCCATTCTACCAGCTTGATAAGCATCAGCATGGAGAGTATTCAGCTGATCCCAGTTGCACAATTTACTGAGTAGCCTCACATTTCTCAGATGATAGGTTCCCATTCTTATTTCGGCAGAAGCTCATGAGTGACCATGAAGATCAGCCTCGTTCCTTCTGCAAACATTCAGGAGGACGCACCTAGCACGTGCCAGGCACTAAGCTGCAAACAGGGACACAGTCCTCCTCAGAGGGTTTGTCCTCTACGAAGGGAGTGGGTACACAGGCAGACACCACGCCTGTGATAAGTGCAGGGATGGAGAGACGAACAGAGAGCATCTTTGAAACACTGACGAGGACTGCCCAACTAGTGTGTTGTGTGTGAGTCCCCAAGGCCACCCTCACTTTCTGTGACTTGCTGGAAGGACTCACAGAATTCAAAGCACTATTATACTCACAGTCCTGGTTCATTACTGTGAAAAGATACAGATTAGAATCACTAAAGACAGAGCATGCATACAGTAGAATCCAGGAAAGACCAGGCATGAGCTTCCAGGTATCCCCTCCCCATGGGGTCATAAGGACAGTGTTTAACTCTGCCATTAGTGGTATGCAGCAGCACATGTGGGGCAGTGCCAACCAGGGAGGCTCCCTGAGCCATGGTGTCCAGGCTTGTACTGGGATCAGTCACCTGGGCCTCCTCTCCAGGGTCAGGCAGGTGCAGCGTGAGCCACATCCCCCCTGACGTCACATTGTTAGTGTAATGTGCCTGGTGGGCACCATGGCTCCAGGTCAGGGCAGCAGACACTCTTATCAGACAGGATGTTCCAGGGGCCAGTTTGTGGTGGTGTTTGTTTGTTTGTATTGGAAGGTATAAGATCTGAACCTCCTAGCAAGTTAACTCTTTATTGCACGGCCAGGCAGGTGAAGGGCGAGGCAATGGTGTCACCACGAGAAAGCTTCCTGAAGAAGGTGTCACCAGAACCGAGCAGCGTTGCACGTCTCAGCTTTTTTGGCTGCTCTGGGGCTCTTGCTGACTATGACCTTGCATTTTCAGTGTTCTCAACTATTAGATGAGAATCAGAAAGAGGAGTACTTCGAGGAGCTCACAGAGGAGTATGAGGATATTAGACAGGACCACTATGAGTCTCTCAAGGTAAGTCACAAAAACAGGCCATGGCTTGTCTGGGTAATAAAACGATCCTACAGTTTTTAATGTGACTTCACTGTTTTGAGAAGGGCAAAGGTTTAGGAACATTTTAGAGAAGTCCTATATTCTCATTCAAATCAGAGTTCTTCAGTGTCTGAGTTTCCAATAATTTTGGTTATGTCAAAATTTTTTTATTCCTGCAGACAAGCATTGGATAGTGTGCAGGAGGTGTTAGGTGCTGCGCTAGATGCCTGAGTTAAGGGAATGAATAAAACATGAGCTCATGGCCAGCAGGGAAATGGGAACTGAAGCAGTGTGCAGAGATGACGCTGCACATCCTTGTTCTTGAGGAACCGGTGGAGGAAATGCAGGCGTTAGGACCACTGTAAGCCTCTCTCCCTGACTGCCCAGCACTGACTGTGCAGGACCTCTCTCGGTGGGCCACAAGGACCCCTGGGGAGTAGGCATAAGTATTCCTTAGAAGTCATTGGGGTATTTCTTCCTGGTTATCTTCCTACTGGGCTTTGTGCAGGGGTGCATTTTAGGGGTTGGCTAGGCAGGTGAGAATTGGGATAACAAGCAGCATGAAGAAAACAGGTATTTCTGAGGAACAAGCAGCATGAAGAAAACAGGTGTTTCTGAGGGTTGGCTAGCCCCTGACACTGGTCGGCTTCCCCTCTCCTTGGGTTTGCCCACAGTTGACAGTTGCTTAGTTCTTAGTTCTGCCTGCCAGTCCTCTGGGCTGTGGACAGCAGACCAGTTAGCCCCACCTGCATGTTCTAAAAGTACAGGCCGGAGACATTGCTGGTCAGGCTGCAGGTGCACCTCATATTTATGTATCAATATTTAGTAGGTTGCCCTGGCTGGTGTAGCTCAGTGGATTGAGTGCTAGCCTGTGAACCAAAAGGTCATTGGTTCTATTCCCAGCCTGGGTTGTGGGCCAGGTCCCCTGTTGGGGGGTGTGTGAGAGGCAACCTATTGATGTATGTCTTGTACATCTGTGTTTCTCTCCCTCTATTTCTCCCTCCCTTCCTCTCTTTCTAAAAATAAATAAATAAATAAATAATTTTAAAAATACTTAGTAGGTATTTATTGAATCTTTATTGTCTAATGTTCTGGTACTGATATGAAGCCATATTGGATGGAAAAGGAAGAGTATTTCAGGCTATGAATTTTCGTTAATAAGAGAATTTGCTTGCACAACTTATGTACTAGCTCTCTTGGACATACTTTTGTAGTAGCAGCTGAAATCCTAAGCGTCTCTGATTAAATAACTTCTTTATTTCTTAGGAGAGAAGATACTTAACCTTGAGCCAAGCTAGAAAAAACAGTTTCCATATTGACTGGCTGTCCGAGCCTCACCCTGGTGCGTTTGACAGTGGAGCAGAGAAGGGCTCCAGGTGGTAACTGGGGGCTGAAGGGCTGTTTGCGTTTACTTGGCTGCAGGATGAGACAGGCAGTTAGAGACTCTTAATTGTGTCCAGTATGACAACGAGTGACAGTGATGACTGGAAATAAAAGTGAACGGGTCCCACGTGTGGAGACCCAGACACTGTTCTGAGAGGGACCCAGCGCAGCCCCGAGTGCTGGACACAGTTCCGTAATGAATGTGCTGCTACCCCGCTTTCCTTTGCAGAAACAGTTTGGGGTGATACCTTGGAAAGTAGTAGGATCCTGTCTCTGATCTGCCTTCTGAACCCCGTACTCTTTCCTCTGTGCCGTGCTTGCCTGAGGCAAGTTCTGGAGACCTGCCTGGCAGCTCAGTCACTGCGTCGGCCAGGGTTCCGGGCAGGACCAGGCACAGGCATGGATTGTCTGAAGTTGAAAACGCCCTGGAGTTGAGCAGACCTTTAAAACACTTCAGCAAAGCAGGCTCTCCTCTTTCTTGTTCACTCTCTCCTTCTGTCTTAATTTCTCTTATTTTGTTTCCTTCCTTGTGTATTTCTAGCCACCTTTCTTGCCTGAAGTAGGTGTTCACGAGGGAGTAAAATGTGTAAGATGCTTTGACAGACCCAGAGAGGCATGAGATACAAATGCAAAACCAAGACAGGTGAACGGGGGTTATGTTAATTAAATATGTATTTTCGAGGTAACACCTCAAATCAGCTTTCATTGCTCGTGCTCAGCAGAGCTGAGAGAATTAAATTGGAAGCGCTGAGCTGAGTGTGGTTTAGGGAGAGGTGGAAGCCTGGTTCTGATCCCAGCTTGGCTCCTGGCTCTGCGTCATTGTGTGACTTGGAGCATCTTCTGATGTGTAAAAAGGGAGTTACTTTATGGAAACGGAGGATAGAATAATATGTGTGAATCTTTGAAAACTATAAATCACCATATGGTTCAAACCATTATTTTCTCTTTACCTTTCACTGTGAAATTAGAAAAATTTCGCAGGGGAAGTTCATTTCGAGCAAGTCCAATATGCAAACACGTCTTGGTGGAAACGGGCCTCTGCAGGGCTCTAGGCTGCAGGCAGCGGGGGGCGGGCACTGTTCTGGGGGCTGCTGCCCCCCAGCAGGTCTCTGCAGGGCTCTAGGCCTGCTGCCCAAGGGCATTGGGCCAGAGGTCCAGCCTTCAGACATGTTTTTGAAGGCAGCGGCGTCTTAGGGTCATTGCAGGAAGTCAATAAGGGGAGAAGGGGGCCTCTTCTCAAGTTCCTTGGTGGTAAAACCTTAAACAGATCAACTCTGGAAGCCAAGCTTACTCAAGACCAGCATGCAGCTAGACAGTCCCCCTGCCTTTCTAGGCACGAGAGAACTTTACCAGAAAACTACCTATAGTTTCCTCCTAATTACCAAACAAAGAAGGTCTCATCCTAAATAATAAAAAGATGACCAGGAATAAATGGGAAAGAGTTACTGTGAACATGTATGAAAAGGTAGATCTCCAGCCAAAAATAAGCTACTCATGCTTTTCCTGAACTTTCACCTCTCACTTTGACTATCTGATGAGAGCAAGACACTCCTGAGACTTCTGTTCCCCCAGAGGGGAAAGCACGTGCTCTCTGACCGCTCCCCACCCCGCCCCCTGTCCCACCGTTTACAGGGCAGGGAACTGAGGACAGGAGGGCTGGGAAGTGGCAGTGGAGTTGGCACTTTGGGCCCTGGCCTGACCCCCCACTAGCCTGAGGGTGGGGGCCAGTACTGCTGCTCTTGGCGTCCAGGAAGGCTCTGTGCATATGTGGCAGTAGGTGGTATAGACTGTTGTTTCCTGTCTTTAAACTTTATATTCATGTCTTTCTACAGTGCTCTTTATTGCAGCGTCATTCCCATTTGTACGTGGGAAGATTATCCCGTCTGTCTTTCTTCTTGGGCAGGGTGGGCTTGGGAGGGCTGAGGGAAGTCTCCAAGGGTGATACAGTCCATTGGCTACATGGGAGAACGGTTTTATTTAAGTTTCCCTGCAGAATGACTCATTCTGCATGACAATTTAAAGTTCCCCTCTTTGGAAAACAGCTCCCACGGGTGACAGGACGGAGGCGCGGCATGGGAGCCAGCCGAGCGGGAGAGAGCTGGCCGGGAAGGTCTGCGGCAGGCAGCGCTGTGCGTGGGTGCTCCGCCCAGGCCCGCTTTGCTGCTGACGTCGGTGCGTCTCTCCTGCAGTGAAGCCCACGTTTCTTGGGACTCGGGTCTTCGAAGACTATGACCTGCAGAAGCTGGTGGACTACATTGACTGGAAGCCTTTCTTTGACGTGTGGCAGCTCCGGGGCAAGTACCCGAACCGAGGCTTTCCCAAGATATTCAACGACAAGACTGTAGGTTAGTTCCATGCTTATTTCTTCCTTCTCTGATCTCAGAGGCACAGTACTGGGACTTCGAACACGAGAATAGACGGTTTGGATTATGCGGGTTACAGTTTATTATCATATAATATGGGGTGTTGTTCACCTGCTCAGCTCTTCAATGGTCCTTACTGATCAACTAAATTTGACATCTTGTTTACCCATTCTTTAGTAAATGGTTGTTGACATCAGTTCCATGCCGGGCTCTGTGCTGGGCACCGCGTACACAACAGGGAAGACAGTATAATCTCGGCCCCCCGCACCTGGCTGGTTGGTGCAGCCGAAGTGAAGGGGAGCCCAGGTTTCTGTGGACACAGGAAAATGAGGTGGACCTCAGGCTGGGAAGACAGGGGAGGCTTCCTGGAGGAGATGGCATTTGAGCCGATTTGTAAAAACTGAGTGAGAGTTACTGAAGTAAGGCTGGGGGCTGTGAGGTGGCGCTGAAGAAAGGACATTCTGGCAGAGGGGACAGTGTGAGAAGGTACAGATGTGTGCTGATTTTCGGGTTACAATTGTCCCTTGTGCCTGGAGCCTTGGTAGGGAAGGGGAATTTGGGGAGATAAGCTATAGAAGTGGGTGAGTCCAAACCTACCCCCAGAGACATGGGATCAAATGCCGAGCCATTCGGAGGACTGGGTAATAGCAGAGCAGGAAGGAGGGGCCTGGGAGAGAGCCGTGGGGGCCGAGGGCTAAGTGGAGCCTGAAGAAGGGCCCCTGCCCACTTCCTGGAGGGTCCCTGCTCTGTGACTCGGCAGCTCTCAGGCCAGGCAGGGCTGCAGCAGGCGGAGAGGGGGTTCTCATTCTGACCTCCCGAGTGACCGCAGATGAACACTGGAGAGGCCAGGAGAAGCTGGCCAGAACATGCCCTTGACAGAGGACTAAAGACCCTGCTGGCCCCTGACCATGGGAGGGGCAGCTCAGGGTCATGTGCAGAGTTGGAAACCTGGAGGAGAGTGTCCCAGGGCCCAGGCACACTATGCAGGAGAGATCCTTCGGGAGCCCCTGAGCCTCGGCTGTCCGGGAGCAGCGCTGAAGCCGCTTAAGGCTCCTCAACCTGCCGCCCTTCCGCACAGGGCCCTGTGAGGTCAGGGGAGTGGTGTGTGCACAAGGAGCAGCAGCGGCAAAGGACTCGGCCTGCCCTGTGTCACTCTCTGACAGCCTCCTTTGGGGAGCCACCGGTTTGGCGCTTTGCCTTTGTTAAATGGAAACGTAAGCAGCGCGAGTCAGGGAGACAGACTGGGAACCGCACTTAGCAGGCAGCACAAAACCACCCGCAGCTCCACCCTGGGATGTCTGACGCCAAGCTCTGAGAGAGTACTTGAGGGGAGAGGGGTGACAAGGTGACAGGGGAGGGCGGTGGTTCTAAAGGAAGCATTTGCTGGTTATTGACATCTTTTAAGTGAATGCTTACGGTATCTTCCTAATAGGTGAAGAAGCCAAAAAAGTCTATGATGATGCCCAGAATATGCTGACAGTCCTGATCAGGGAGAAGAAGCTGCAAGCCAGGGGCGTGGTTGGGTTCTGGCCAGCGCAGAGCGTCCAAGATGACATCCACTTGTACGCACTGGGCTCCGACCCCCGGGCTTCGAGGCCCATCGCCACCTTTCATGGGCTGAGGCAACAGGTACGGTGGGCGGGTAGACCATAAGCAAGCTTTTCGGTGTGAGCACTGAAAGAATGTAAATAAGAATGAAGTAAGTCTGAGCTTTGTATGAAGGACAGCTCTGCCCCACCTCACCCCGAATGACCAATCCCAGGCCCAACCCCGAGGCCACTGTGAGGACGTGGAGAGAAGGCTGGAGTGCAGGGTTTGCTGATGTGTCAGGCAGTGGCTGCCTCAGTGGTCATGTACATCTGCTCGTACACACGTCATTGAGACAGGCTGGTTGCTTTCTCTTCAAGGGGAGACAGGCAGGAGCAAACCTTCACTGAAAGTGTACCAGGTGTCAGGTGCTTACAGGGCTCAGATGAACCATCTTGTTTACTTCCCACACACCCTTTTTCAGGCACTTGATGTGTCCATTATGCAGAAGAGAAAATGAAGGTTGCAGAGAACATGCTGAGTCCACAGCTTGGAGGGGAGAGCCCAGCCTGCCCTCACCCCGTGGCTCCGTGTCAGCTCCATCTTCTGTGGCATTGTAAGAACAGGGTCATTGCAACGTGGCCTTCTCTCATGCACCCCCACCTTTCAAAGTGCAGACACCATGGGCACGTCCCATTAGCTGTCTTAAAAGCCATTGTCTTAATCGAGAGTAGAACCAGAATTCACTGGAGTTGTCACTAAGGGTTGCAGTAAATTATTCTTGCAAAGCTTTGCTACCATTTTAGTCATTTAGGAGTGATCATGTTGCTTTGAATCATAACCACAAAATAGTTCATAATGACAGATACTTTTACTGAAACAACATCTGAAGACGTTCTTAAGTTGAGGATATTGAACAGCGGTGACCAAGGTCAGCGAGGGCAGCCACATCATCAGTCTGCACTGGGGCGCAGACACCACAGACTGAGGGCAGGGCCTCACGTCAGTTCCGGCTCCCTGCATCTGGGAACTGGTGACTTCTCTTTTCCAGGTGGAACTCAGGTTAGAAGCCTCTCCTGGCCCAGTTTTTCATCCTTCAGGTCTCGTGTCCTCTGAGCTCTTTTCGTGTCCAGACCCATTTGTGTCCAGGCAGTCTGTGACGGACTGTGTTAGGACATTTCATGTATGACTTCTCAGCGTATATCTGCCACCTACTCGGATAGGTATTTCTGGAGAGTTCTGGCTGCAGCGACCTCCTGCTCTGGGAGTCTGTTCTGAGTCACTCTGACAGCAGCCCCTTCTAACATGCGGTGGAGTGCTCTGGCCCATCTCTCCTTGTGCCCGGAAGCTTGGCATCTCCCTCGTACTTTGTTGGCCCAGAACAACTGACGGCAGCATACATCTGGAGCCGCTCCTCTGTATGTGGCTGGCTCTGGGCTCCGTGACGTCTCCACATGCCGTGGTCAGACACCTTCTTGCCCTCCCCATCTCTTCCCATTGCCAGGCTGTGTACTTGTTTACAGAACCGGCGAGCACAGAGCTCCTAAGCTTCTGGGTTGGCCACTTCTTGTTGATCGATCAGTCCTAACCAGTGCCGTGGAGCCGTCAGCAGTGCTGACTGTGGTAGCAGACCCAGGGCCTGCTGCTCTCTGACCTGAGCTGGGTGATCAGCTGCACCTGCCTCAGACTCCTCATCTGCACTGTGGCGCCAATGGTATCATGTGCCTGGCATATAGTAAGCACTCAACAAAAATTAATAATTAGCTGTTTACGTTCTCAGCAAAATTATTGTTAGTGAAATAGTAAGGTTTTATTTGTCAGTTTAGTGACAGGGAAGAGTCTGTCATGAGCTGAAAATGAAAAGTGGGAGAGGCACCTGGCCTGGTGGGAGAGTCACATTTTTTAAAAAATGTTTTTATTGCTCAATTACAGTTGGTCCCTTTCCCCCCACTACTCCCCCCTGCCCTACCCACACTCTCCACATTCAATCCTCCCCCCACCCCGTTGTCCTTGTCCATGGGTCCTTTATACATGTTCCTTGACTTGACCCTTCCCCTTCTTTCCCCCATTATCCACCCCCCTACCTCTGGTCACTGTCAGTTTGTTCTTTATTTCCATGTTTCTGGTTCTATTTTGCTTGTTTGCTTGTTGTGTTAATTAGGTTCCATTTATAGGTGAGATCATGTGGTATTTGTCTTTCACCACCTGGTTTATTTCACTTAGCGTAATGCTCTCCAGTTCCCTCCATGCTGTTGCAAAGGATAGGAGCTCCTTCTTTCTCTCTGCTATGTAGTATTTCATTGTGCAAATGTACCACAAGTTTTTGATTCACTTGTTTGCTGATGGGCATTTAGGTGTTTCCAGCACTTGGCTATTGTAAATAATGCTGTGAACACTGGGGTGCATAGGTTCTTTTGAATTGGTGTTTCAGGATTCTTAGGGTATAATCTCAGCAATGGAATTGCCAGGTCAAAAGGCAGTTCCATTTTTAGTTTTTTGAGGAAATTCCATACTGTTTTTCACAGTGGCTTCACCAGCCTGGATTCCTATCAACAGTGCACTAGGGTTCCCTTTTCTCCACAGCCTCACCAGTTTGTTGATTTGTTTATGAGGGCCATTCTGACTCGTGTGAAGTGCTATGTCATTGTGGTTTTAATTTGCATCTGTCTCATGGCTAGTGATGCTGAGTATCCTTTCATATGTCTCTGGGCCCTCTGTATGTCCTCCTTGGAGAAGTATCTGTTCAGATCCTTTGCCTGTTTCATAATGGGATTGTTTGTCTTCCTGGTATGGAGTCATGTGAGTTCTTTGTCTATTTTGGAGATCAAACCCTTATCCGAGGTATCATTGGTAAATATATTTTTCCATATGGTTGGTTCCCTTTTTTTGCTCATGTTTTCTGTACCTGTTGAAAGGCTTTTTAATTTGATGTAGTCCCATTTATTTATTCCTGTATATCCCTTGCTCTACAGGACAAACTGGTGAAAATATTGCTGTGTGAAATATCTGAAATTTTCCTGCCTATATTCTCTAGGACTTTTATGGTGTCACGATTTATATTTAAGTCTTTCATCCATCTTGAGTTTCTTTTTGTGTATGGCTTAAATTGGTGGTCGAGTTTAATATTTTTTTTTGCATGTAGCTGTGCATATCTCCCAATACCATTTGTTAAACGAGGCTATTTTTACTCCATTTTATGTCAAATATTAATTGACCATAGAGACTTGGGTTTATTTCTGGGCTCTCTGTTCTATTCCATTGGTCCATGTGCCTGTTCTTATGCCAGTACAAGACCGTTTTGATTACAGTGGCTTTGTAACACAGTTTGATGCCAGGTATTGTGATCCCTCCTCCTTTGTTCTTCTTTCTCAGAATTGCTGAGGCTATTCGGGGTCGTTTATGGTTCCATATTAATTTTTGAAATATTTGTTCTATGTCTGTGAAACATGTCATTGGTAGTTTAATAGGAATTACGTTGAATCTATAAATTGCTTTGGGTAGTATGGATATTTTGATGTTAATTCTTACAATCCATGAACACGGTATATGCTTCCATTTGTTTGTGTCTTCCTTAATTTCTTTCTTCAGCGTTGTGTAGTTTTCTGAGTACAGGTCTTTAACCTCCTTGGTTAGGTTTATTCCTAGGTACTTTATTTTTCTTGTTGCTATAGCAAATGGGATTTTTCCCCTAATTTCTGTTTCTGATACTTTGTTGTTAGTGTACAAAAATGCTTTTGATTTATGAATATTGACTTTGTATCCCTTTGTTTTGCCAAATTCACTTATTAGGTTGAGTAGTTTTTTGGTGGAGTCTAGGGTTTTGATTTGAATCAAATAAAGAAGCGAATCCTGCTGAGTTATGTTTGCTGTCAGACTGGCTCAGGGGCTCCTGAGCTGTCTGTCTCCTGAGCTCTGCCCCCCGCCCCCTGCAGCAGCCCGGGCCTCTGTGGGGCTGGCCTGGCAGCGTGTTCAACTTCGTGATGCAAAGTAGAGGCTCATATTTGGTGGTCCCCTTCTGAACATGACTCCAAGATTTAATGTTGATTTTGAATAGAAACACTTCCACTTTGGGGGAATTTTTTTTTTATCTGAACGTTTAGGTTTCCAGTCCTAGCACAGTGCCTGTGGCCTTCAGTAAGTGTTTGGTCAGAGTGTGAAAGAGCAGTGAACTGCTCTTCCCGACTACGGGAGGGCAGTTCCCGACTGTTTTCCCGACTACGTGTAGCATGTCACATGTTTAAAAGCTCGTTTCATTTGCTCATTCAACAAATCTGTAGGGATTGCCACACGCTGTTCTAAGTGCTGAGGACGGCACAGCGCACAGAACAGGCAGACATCCCTGTGTGAGGCCTGCACTCTGACGAGAGTCCGCTGCTATCCAGTGTGTGTGCTGCCCCGCCCGTGCTCACGGCCCCTCCGCCTGCCCCTTGGATTTTCAGGCCGAGAAGGACTCCGCCAGCACGGAGCCGTACCTCTGCCTCTCGGACTTCATTGCCCCGCTGCACTCGGGCCTCCGGGACCACCTGGGCCTGTTTGCTGTCGCCTGCTTCGGGGTGGAGGAGCTGAGCCGAGCCTACGAGGACCAGTGTGACGACTACAGCAGCATCATGGTCAAGGCGCTGGGGGACCGGCTGGCAGAGGTAGTGCCGCAGCGCTCTGAGGACAGAGCCTGGGTGGAACCCGGGATGATGCAGAACTCGAGGCAGCCTCGAGGATCAGATGAGGCTGGCTTTAACCCAGTTTGAGTCGTCTATTCTCCAGTTGTTCTCCCACATTATCTTTTGGGCAGAGGTGACCCTTCAGTGGTGCAGTTGGAAATCACCCTAAGAACCTAAACTTCATTGTGATGTTTTCCTAAGGAGCCTGAAAAATTAAAACCGGACTTCTGTTTCAGAGCTCCTGTTCTAATGGAGGTGTCCTCTGTAGCGGGGGTCCCCAACCCCTGGGCGTGGACCAGTACCAGCCCGCAGCCTGTCAGGAACTGGGCTGTGAGCGAAGCACACCTGAGCTCCACTTCCTGTCTGCCCTCCTCACCCCCCCACCCCTCTCTTCCATGAAACCAGTCCTTGGTACCAAAAAGGTTGGGGACCTGCTCTGTAGAGTCCTCCTCTTCGTGTGCCGGGAGTGGGGTGCACTGAGCAGTGGGGAGGCCAAAACCAAGCCAGCAGAGCAGCTAATGACACTATGCAGGAGTCAGGAGTCCAGTGCCCTCCTTCCTGCTGGCTGTCCCCGGCTGGCCCAGGCGAGAGTGCCGCCCAGGTGGCTTTGACCGAGGGGGACAGGCAGCACTGAACCCCCTTGTCCCGGGCTCCAGGCCTTTGCGGAGGAGCTCCACGAGAGGGTCCGCCGGGAACTGTGGGCCTACTGCAGCGACGAGCAGCTGGATGTCGCCGACCTGCGAAGACTGCGCTACGGGGGCATCCGCCCAGCGCCCGGCTACCCCAGCCAGCCCGACCACACCGAGAAGCTCACGATGTGGAGGCTTGCGGACATCGAGCGGCGCACAGGTACGTGCCCAGAAGGGAGCGCCCTCTTTCCCGAATCAGCACAGAGTGGGTGCCGGCCGGCTGTGGGCCCTGGGCACATGCGCAGTTCTGTCGCTCCCTAGGCATTCGGTTGACGGAGTCGTTAGCGATGGCACCTGCTTCAGCCGTGTCTGGCCTCTACTTCTCCAATTTGAAGTCCAAGTATTTCGCTGTGGGGAAGATTTCCAAGGATCAGGTAACTTAGCTGTTTCATTGCACCTGGTTTCCTGGGATTCCTGTCTTGCTTAAGTGGAACTGGAGAACCTATTGTGCTTCACATGTAACTGAGAAGACAGCACAAGAGAAAGGATGAGCACAGTTATCTCAGTTAAGGTTTTCATTTGACTCTAACCCATTGCCCCGATTCCGGCCCCCTCGTTTACACGCAGACCACACACATGCATGCATGCCTGTGCACATGCACACAGCCCCACCAGCTTCTAAGATCCAGATATTTACCCCACAACCACGTTTGTCCTGCCCAGAGAATAGGCAGTTTGGTGACTAGACAAATGTCCATCTCCATTCAACTCAGTAGGCTGCTCATAGACAAGAAATGGAAGGTGCTTAACGTTTCTGGGCAAATCCTGAGGAAACGTCAGTTCAGAGATCGCATCAGCTTGGTCTGATAAGTTGCTTCTCCTCTTTTGCAGGTTGAGAATTATGCTCTGAGGAAGAACATGTCTGTGGCCGAGGTCGAGAAATGGCTTGGGCCCATTTTGGGATATGACACAGACTGACTTTCTGTTTTTACCTTTCGTGTACTTCAGGGGTTTCCCACCCCCCGCCGGAGACAAAGGTTGGGGCCCCTGCTGCACTTGATCCTCAGGGAAATAGAGTCCAGAGTGCCTTAAAACAAGCAGCCTGGCAGCAGCCCCCGGGCCTGTCTGCAGCTGGGCGACGCCCCTGCTGCCTTGTGTTCGGGGAGACTGTCTGCTGAGCCTTAGTGCAGCTAGTCCTACCTCGGCTCCCGAGAGACCGGCTGCTGCTCGTCAGGGCCCGTGCCGGGCAGCGAGCAGAGCTCTGGCCGTGTCTGGTCGCCAGGGCCCAGGGACAGGCTGAAGATAGTAGTCCTCTGCATTTCAAAGCAAGCCACCTTGCTGTTTTCATTTTTACCTTGGACCTAGGAGCACGCGCCCCCTCCCCCCGCCCCCCACTCAGAAAAAAGGCTGACATTCAGTTGAATAGAGCATAGGATGCTGTGGCAAAAGGGCGGTTTAGTCCAGTTGTCATCACAGTAGATGCTGACAGGGAAGAAAGGATAACGGCTCTGTTTCCGGAAGACCTCATCCCCTATGGGCTCATGGAGAGGGTGGCAGAGGTCCCTTGGGCGAAAGCACGCCGAACCGCTTGCTTGTCAGGTAGGCTCCAGCGATTGGGGCTAGTGTGGTCAAATACAGTCATGTTCCCTAAGCACTTTGTCCTCTCATGATTCCCTGTTTCTTAGCCCTAAGGAGAAACGGAGGAGGTGGGGAGAGAGTGGCAGCTAATGTCTTTCAGTTGTTTGCCAGAATTGAGCAGGCTCATGGCTGAGCCATGTGTGGCGTCCTGGGCCGATTTGGACAGGTGAGCAGCTTAATTCCACACAGTAGCTGCTTTTCTGCTGCCCCCCCAACTCCAGACTCACACGATTTAGGAGAAGCACATTGACTTGTCAGTCACTGCAGGGGCCTGGGTAAGAGACAGGCTTTGGAGTCAGACATGCTGGGTTCAGGTCTCAGCTTTGCCACCTACTCACTGCATGACGGCGGCGAATCACCGAAACCCCGCACTGTTTCCTCACCTGTGGAATGGGGCAGTGGCGCCAGGTCCCGTCGCGTGGGCATGAGGTGATCCACGTACGGCAGGTAACCCGGATCTGGGGCAGCGAGTGCTGGGTGGGCTGCAGCGTCTTACTGCTCCATCCATCGTCCTTTGAGCTCAGCACACAGTAGGTGCTCACAGGGAGGGGAGGTGAAAAGACACTGGGGAAACGCATGTGGCAACGACTACAGTGCACACAACAGGTGCCCTGTGCCAACACTGCCCGTTTGACACTGGGACTGGGAAGGAGAAGCAGCCCCTGGGTCGCATGCCCCCGTTGTGACGAAGCCAGCACGTCCCCCCGAGCACTGACGTCGAATGTGCGTGCAGGCACGTTGGAGGGGAAGGGGGACAGACAGGAAGGGATGACCCCGTGCCTCTGGGGTGTAACCATGTCTGCCTGCAGGCTGACACCCTTCTCAGGCGTTGCTCACCTTTCAGGTGAGGAAATTGTGTTCTTTGGTGCACTGAATGTGTGCCAGACCGAGAACGGGACTCGACCCCCTGAGACACTTAGCTGGAGGGCTTACCTCCTGTTCCCTAGCACATATGTTATTCTGGGCTTTGAAACACTCTTCTGTGAGAAAGAGTGACCTTCAGATTCAGTCAGGTGCTGAGTAACAACATTTCAGGCAACGACAGGCTGCGCATTTGATGGTGGTCCTGTGAGGTCATATGGCACTGAACTTAGAGAAACAATGGGATGATGGTTCCGGGGGCTGGGGCATTGAGATGTGGTGTGAGGGCACAAACACACGACCAGGGGATCTGCTGCACAGCAAAGCATCTCATTACAGTCCATAATACTGTATTGTGAACCTCAGAGCTGCTAAGAGACTAAACCTTAACTGCTGTCCACACAAAGAATGAATGACTGACGTGACAGAGATCCTAGCTAATGCCACTGCCGTCATTCTGCAATATATAAATGTGTCACACCAACACCTTGAACACACACAATGCTATATGCCAATTATGTCTCAATAAAAAACACAACCTCCCTGAACAACAAACCCGCTGGGGCCACCGAGCTTCTCCAGGTGAGGCAGAGCTGAGGCGCCCCTGCCTGCAGCCGGAAACCTCCAAGCCACAGCAGGTCCCATGCTCTGCCGCTGCCTCTGCACCTGCCGGCAGGGGGCTGATGGGTCAGGAGCCTTGCAGTGTTCTCGCAGCCCCTGAATCCTCAGAGGCCCATTAAAAGTCAGTATATCTTCCATGGGACGTGCATCTGCCGTGCCATTGGCTGTGTTTGAAGGTTGGCCACCCAAGCAGGGTGAGCGTGAGCCCCCTCCTTTAGCCAGAATACAGTCAAGAAATTTTCTCCTCCATTAAGTCAGATAAGAACATCTGTCATTCACCTGCATGGCAGACGAGCCACGCCTGACAGGTTGAACTTAGAGGCAGGCTGCTGCGGGGAAGGGAGTTCACATGGATGAGGAGACCCCGAAGGAGGGTGGTCACAGAACAAGAGCGTCATCCTGGGACGGCGGCTGAGGGCCTAGGCAGGGGGTGAGCCCTTCAGAGCAGTGGCATTGAGGTGGCAAGGAGGCCCGCTCTGGGTGTCCACATCAGATGCACAGGAGTATCTAATGTAAGAAGGCAGAGCAATCGTGAGGCTTGGTTTTGGACACTATCTTTAAGTTTTTACTCGGAAAGTGCATGGGGCTGGAGGGGCGGGGGAACAGGCTTTACCAAGGGTTTGGCAATATGAGTAGGATTGTGGGTGTCCGTGAGGGGCGGGCACGGGACAGGGTCGTGGAGCCGTGACCACCCTGCACGGGCAGAGTGGGAAGGCCTTCACCTTGAAGTCTTCCTACCAGCCCCAGAGGCGTGAAAAGCCCGCCTTCAGCAGGGAAAAGGATGGGGGTGCTTATTCCGGTAAAGTGGGGCATCGCCATTCGCTCCCACATTATGAACGCAGGCCATTTTATTACTCCTTTCAGGTGGAAGTCTGAAAAACGGGTTTTGTAGAGTGGGTATCAGGCCCTACTGAGCCACAGCCCTACCTCGCTGTCAGACCCTACCAAGGCTCGCAGGCCCGGGGAAGAGCAGCTACAGCCACCCTGTAGCTTCTCGCGCCGTGAGTTCAAACAGTGCTCGTGGTGTTTGGGAGACGAATGCTGGCTGGGCCGGTCACCTCAGCCGTGCATTGGCTGCAGCCCCTGAGAGGAGAAATGTTCATCACGACAGGCATTTGCATGTTAATTCAGTCCATCCTTTATACGTCCACTTGTCAAACACTTTTCGGGCCACGTCCTGTTCTCGGGTGGTGCTGACGTGGTAACACGGGGTAGGCTTCCGGGCCTCATGGAGAGTGGCCTGCACTTTGTCACGTTACCTGGTGTCACTCAAGTCCTGGACACCCTCCACTGCAGGTTTGCAAGCAGAGGAGGCAGCTCCTGGGCCCCCCTGTGTATTCTGAGGAAAGTTACCACCCACCACCTGGCCCCTTTCCCCGGATCTTACTGCTGCCGCTGAGTGTCGCTAACAGGGGTTGGGGAGCTGTGACCTGCTGCTGCGCCCCTCACCGCCTGCAGTGGTGCACGTCACCAAGCACACGCGGTTCTGTGTCTTCTTTTTAACCTGGGTTGGAACAAGGATGCTGTGTGCTGTTTCCGGAAACACTGGAACGATGCCCTGGTGACAGCTGCTTCTGAGCATGACTCTTGGTGCTCTGCCAGGGTCAGGTGCAAGGGAGGTGTGCGTGTACCCATGTGTGTGCATGTGTGTGCGAGTCCCGTCCTGTGTGTTAGAGGGCAGGCCTGTGCTTAGCCATAAGTATAAATGCAGTTCAGTGTTGCTCTGTGAACATGCGTGCAAGAGCAGCTGTCAAGCTCTCATCCTCACCTCCAGGCCTTTGGGGAACGGGAGCACCCGGCACCTCCCCTGCAGATCCCCAGGAGTGCTGACCAGGAGCACCCGCCTCCCAAAGAGAAGCCAGTGCTTTCACAGACTGCTCCTTAGAGGCTGGAGCCGCAGCTCGCCTCCCTGCCACCTCTCTGAATCGAGACTCCCTTCTTTGTCCTCTGTTCTGCTTTTCTATGCATTTGCTCTTTGAGCGGTGGTACACCACGGGGGCGTTAATTTCACAGTAACATAGATCGTTAAAAGCGTCTACGTCACGTGAGAACATTTTTTGTTTAGCCACTGAAGGGTACTTAGCATGGGCACTGCCTGTCTAAGGACCCTGGCTTATTGCATTGAGCTGGGGTGCCCTCAGGTGCCCTTAGCCACCAGACCCTGTCAGTGACGGGCTTGCCTGTCCTGCAGTACGTGTCCTGGCCCTTCCTCCGGCGCTTGTGTGTCTCATTTTGGGGGGCGCATACTGCTTCGTAACCATCACATCTGAGGCAATAGGTGTGATCTTCCAAATTAGAGTGTAGGATATTGGGATCTCTTCCACTTTCTTTGTGTGCTTTGAAGCTTTGAAGCCTTTGAGAGCGGCTGTGTTGGTGTGTGTGAATCCATAGTAGGACGTGGATGAACGGCTGTGGGAGGGGCCCTGCGCCTGCCCACCTCCCTCTGGGGGCAGGTGTACTCCGAGGCAGGGTGTTTTCTGTCTTGCTTCATGACCACCACCTCTCCCCACCCACACCTCCAACCCTGACTAGTCCAGAGACATAGGGCCACTGACGTGGCCTCTCCAAGCTGCAGCCTGTCCACCTGGCAAGTGGCCTCACCTCATAGATGGTGCAGGAACTTGAATCTGGTGCAGAAAATACTCGGCACTGCATCTGGCTTTCCCACAGAGTCTTCACGAACTGAGGACCCTGGGGAGAGGTTCAACTCTTTCAGCTCTTCACATGCTTTACCAGACAATGAGTGCAGCACCACTCCAAGTATGCTTCCTTTACGGGCGATGCATGTGAGCCCAGCGGATGCCTGTGGCCCGGGGGCGTGGACAGACAGGGGGCCTAACTGGTGAGATGGGCAGTTTGGAGAGGCACCTGTGCCGCTGCAGGGGCCGGTGGGGCGAGGACCAGGGGTGCCCGTGGAGAGGGGAGACTCGGGTCTTGTCAGTGCCCTGTCGTGACTGCAGCATCACATTTCTGTGCAGTAACCTTTCTCTATATGAACGTCACTTTGATTTTCAGTGTGTGTGTTCCTTAAAGTTGTGTGTGGTCAGCAGGTTTTGGTTCTTCAGTTATAACCAACATTCCTGTTGCAGGGTTGAACCTTACAAACTGGCTGCCAGGAGGACTGTACCAGACAGGGTGGGCGGCTTTGTGAAATCCATCCCACCGCACCCCTGCATGTTAAGCTGTGTCTGCACTAAAAACCCCGTTTAAAAATAAGTGGCATTTTTCATTATATAGCCCATTTGTTGCAAAAAGCTTATAACTGTTTAAAAGTATACAAAGGAAGACAATTCTTGATTATAAACCCACATTTAGCTGCTATGGATGTTTTCTTAATAGCTCCTTCCATTGCCTTTTCTTCTCTCTTCCCTTCTGCCCACCGTCTGTGGGTAAACTGAACAGTGGCCCCTCGGGTGCTGATCCCAGGTCCTAATCCCAGACCAACGGATGCCGCCGTATACGGCCAGGGATCTGGTTCTGTCGATGACCCTGGGATGGGGAGATTCCCCTGGGCTGTCCCCTGGGGCCTAA